ATTGGCCTTACAACTCCTATTGTCTGTATGAACAGTGTTCTTTGCTCTTATCGTGCTCGTTTTCAACAGCATCTCCTGTCTCTTCCTGCTCTCCCTGCCCTTGGCTGTCAGTCAATCCCTGCTTTATCCAGGCTTCCATGGCTCTGACCCAAAAGAGAGCCCAGGCCCGACCATCTGCAGCCGGCTGCTGTCGAGCCGAGGGCCTGATAACAGTTTGACTATGTTAGGTTAGTTATTAGTCATGAGGGGAATGAATGAGAGGTAGGTCTTAAATGTTACGGTTTAGTGGGTAGATAGCTGCTCTGTGTGCAACCTGAAGATGTCAAACATGTGAATATAGTGTTTAAGAATCAGCGTAACAAGATGTCTGTATTTGACTTGGTGTGTAAAAAGAGGATAAGGCAGGCTGCTGCAGATGTGGCAGACGTGGTTCATTTCCGGGCTGAAACAAAAGAGGAAGACTAACACTATTCTTCACAAGTGAAGTGTAGAAATATGACGCAGCTGAAGCGGTCTTATCTTATTTTAAATAACTCATCTCCTTCACCACAAGTCCTCTTTTGTGACTGCATGTCAATTATGTACCCTGAGGGTAGACACGCAGCAGCAGGGTGTGTGCAGCTTGTTTTATAAAAAAGAGAATAGATCATCTCCTTCAAATCACATGACAAACAACAAGAACAAAAGTACACTGCAGGATCCAAACTAGATAAGGGACAGAAATAAAGTCTGCATTGTTGAGGAGAAAATATGTTTTCACCACATGTTTTCTATAGTTCTGCTGTAAAGAGTGACTGTGCATATTCATATTTCCTGGTAAATAGAGGAAACATGCAACCCACTCTTCAAATGTAAGACTCAAGTTGCGTGACCACACAACTGAAAATAACAGTATTTATTTCACTTTGAATTTACATTTCAATTAACCTGTTTGAGTTGGAAACAGTCTTGATATGTTATGCTCCTTGTGCAAATATAACTGGTTGATACTACTGGTTATGCATGTGGGCGTTTGTCCTGTGTGCAAGAGAAGTGACTGTCAGCTGCTATATCTAAGTTTATGTCACAAGACTCATCAAATGAACAATGTGAAAGACAAGTAAATCAATATTCAGAGACAATGCGTTGATCATTTAACACGCGTTTGTTTAAAGGACCCCTCTGTGTCTGCTGATGAGATCACCTGGTTATCTTCAGCAAAACAAACACATTTCTCCCCCTGCTTTATGAAACTTTTTCTATACTAAACACAACAATGTCTATTCACAAAGTAATTCCACCCAGCAGCAGCTCTGTATACTAACAATAAAGAAACACACCTGGTTTTCAGCTGCAGGCACGGTAGGTGAGCTCGGTGTGTGTGTCCGTGTTCAGCAGCAGCGACTCCTTTGAACCGCGAGCCTCTTCTGTCTCTCTTCTGTCTATCTTCTGTCTATCTTCTGTCTCTTTTCTGTCTCTCTTCTGTCTCTCTTCTGTCTCTGCGTCTGTCCTGCGGCCCAGCTGCTGCTCAGGCGTGGCTCTCGGGGGGGGGCACCTTTAATCCGCCCTGCTGCAGCTTCCGCAGGTAAAAGCAAACACCCCGCCTCCCCCGTGTTGCGTTCAAGAGCTCCGTGTAAATGTAAAAAATAAGACCCTTAACTAGGAGTGTGGTTTTCTTGGCTCATATGCTTCTTTAAAGTTAAAACGACATGACAGTTAGTTATATATTGTCATATACTCATTGTACAAAGTTATTTTGGTTACTTTTGTATATTTACATTTGGTGTAAATACTTGTCTTTATTATTATTTTTTTTTTTTCATCTTCCTTTTATAATCTTTATTTTGTTTACCTTCTCTTACAATTTATTTACACATGTATGTGTAAACGTACCTGGCAATAAACTAATTTCAGATTCTGATTAAGCGAGTTGGGAATTACTTAGTTGGTTAACATTACTGCAATAGATAAGCTGTTGGCATGTTAACTTGACAAATTAAGTGTCATTTAGAAAACATGTTATTACATTAAATTACATTACATTGCATTTAGCTGACGCTTTTATCCAAAGCGACTTACAATAAGTGCGTTCGACCAACAAAATACAAACTTGAAGAAAACAGAATCATATAAGTACATCAGGTTTCATAGAGCAAAAACATTTCAAGTGCTACCCAACTGGCTTTAGGTAAGCCAGTCCTTTATTAGTATATAAGTGCTTTGTTAGTAGTTCTATCGCTCGAAGTGTAGTCGAAAGAGATGAGTTTTCAGTCTGCGCCGGAAGCTGTGTAAGCTATCTGCTGTCCTGATGTCAATGATAATTTTATCAGATGTGTCCTGTACTAAATCAGCACATGGCTATTTTATGTTATTTTTTTATACTGAGGACAGACAGTGTGCTGTCAACAATAACCCATGGCAAAATATATGAATTCATTATTTCATCTGAAATAACTGGCCAACTAGTTGGTAAGTCAATCAAAAGACACAAAAGTCAGAATCAATCAGAACCAAAGTAATCCCCTGTGTTTCATGACAACAAAACATCAAACATCATCAAACATCCTCTGTAGGCCTGTGTCTGGCTCCTCATGTCCTGTCAAGTTTGGCTGTTGAAAACAAGCAGTCTGAAATTCAACTCGAGCTTCAGGAACTTGCAGTTATTCATTTTCATTTTAACTAAACAAATTGCTTCACTTAAACAATGCAATAAGCTGCAGCACCATTTTAAATGAACATATAAACAGTTTTATACATTTATGCTTTCAGATTTTCCTGGAAGCCTTATGAAAAAGAAAAGCCACCTTTTCTAGAGGATTAAAATAAGAGTAAGTCAAGTGTTTATTAGTTGAGATAAGAGTCACTGATTAGCTGTGTGTGTGTGTGTGTGTGTGGTGTTAGGAATGCAGAGCCTCGTCTGTACCTGCAACAGGAGCAGGGGTGGGGCCCTGCCTATATGGGTCTGAGGGGGACATTTTACACAAAACTGTCTGTAGACAAGGAACAATGAAGCCAAAACGAAATTAAAGCATTATTCCTAATAACTGTTTTTAAATGTTTTAGAGGATAGTCAGTAGGTTAATGTTAATGCAAGCATGGGAATACAATGCCTTACATTGCCCTGCTGTACTTCTGCTATTGCATCTGTAAAAAACAAGTTTCATAGTAAATTATATTTACTTGTCAACAAAATACAACATGACCCAAACAAGTGCAAAATGTCTATCTGTATGTTGTCTCTGTCCAACCAATGAGCTTTTGGTTTAATTCTCTACCATATATGGTCATAGAGCAGAAAAGAAAATCAGAAAGAGCAGAGCGGTGGAGGGAGGCGTGCTCTATTGTTGTGTTTCCTCCGTGGTGTAAAGTTTCTTTTCAAACCCCGTCATTACCCACAGCCCCGTCCTCCTCCTGCTGTTTCAAATCTGTCATACATCTAGATGAGCTGATATAGAAATGTTGCCACAGCATGTCGCAACATGAATGAAACTGAGTAAGGACTCACACAGTGAGTGTTACGAGGTGTGTACATACACTGTGTTGTATGAATTTAGGCAATGAAATACCTCAGTAATATACATACACAGGGCCGTCCCTCCCTACAGGCACCTATGCGTGTATGCGGCGCAATTAGTGTGGTGTCGCCGCTGCGAGGCCCCACTAGCACCCGTCGTCGTCGTAGTCAGAGGGCCTCATCATATATCTTTGCGTGGGGCCTCCAGTTGGCCAGGGACGGACCTGTACATACACATTATTATTGTCCCTTCATTCAAAGCACTGATGCAGCTCTTTGTTCCAGGGAGATATCAAAACAAACTTGTTAAAATAAAAGGTTTACAATATACCAGACAGGTAGCTACATTATACTGAAATACAACATTTTGGTTTTCTGACTTTATTTCACTTGTCAGTTTCCATATTGCTAGTGTATATCGCAGTTAGCAAACAGTATGATTGCATTTTCTTGTGAAAAGAAAAACAAAGCGTCTATTCAGAGCTGAGATTGAGTCATGTCATTCTTCTTGTTGGTTCATTTCTGTTGTTACACCACCTCACATTTAAATAGCTTCCTGCAGCTCGCTCCAGGACAGGGAAACTCTCAGACGCCTTATGTCCTCAGTGTAAGAGATCATATTACTTTCTGCACAATAAAACACATCAACAGTGTGAAAATATGTTTTAAGTTAGAATATGCTTCTCATGTTTTACAAGTTTACAGAGGAGTGACAACAGAGTCAGGTCATGTCATGCAGATAGTTGTGGTAGATGCCAGACAGGGGGAAAGCGCAGAATGGAGGGTTATTTCAACGTGTTGGAGCACATCGGCCTGCGTGGGTTTGGTGGATTGAAGTAAGATTATTGTTGAGGTAAATTCAGAGACACTCACACACCTAAACTGGCCTTCCAAATCCACTCCATCCATCACACCTGCTGCAAAATACTACAAGACTTATTAGTGACAGCAGATTTAAAAAAGGCTGTAATGGAGGGATTAGATGTTTTTCATATATGCTTTTTCTGTGACACCAACCTGAAGGAGAAGGGCAGCCTGTTGTGGATGAAACTGTGAATTACAAGCTGAAGAGTGTCCACGTTTCGAGCTGCATGTTTAGTGTTGTATATGGAATAGAACTTGAGAAAATATAAAGGTCTACAGTTAATATGTGAAATCTATGTTTATTTGTTACTAGGTTGGCTACAGAGTCTGTTAAAACGGTTGTATAATTGATTATACTTATATAGTCAGTGTTCCCCCATGAAAGGCAGTTAAAAAATGTGTGGTTAAAAGGCAAATTCAAATAAATCTATGTAAATAATACCATTTAATGAGATTTTAAATGAAATAACCAATTTCAGTGCGTTATCTGTCTGTCTAACTATATATATATATATATATATATATGTATATATATATATATATATATATATATGTCTGTTTTTCTGTCTAAAGTCTGCTTCCAACCCTTCTTGAAACCCTCTTGCTTGAGAAGACAATACAAAAAGGAAAACATGACACATCACATTTTTATGAGTTTTTATTTATTTGATTTTTAGGTGTTTTATTGTTTTTTTTTCTCCAAAAAAATCCTGAGGTATTCACAATATAATGGCATTTATTCTGTTTGAAATGAGACTGGGGGGAGGGGGGGATCAAATACAGCCAGAAAACAAAACGAGAAACGGGCAGTAAAGCTGTTTCGATGATACAACTGTAAATAAATCCACGGTGTCGTACATAAAGGAGCCTTTGAACTGCAACAGTGGAGACTGAAGTCAATCCTCCCCCCGCCCTGCGAACTAGCATCATGCTATCTAGACTGCATTTAGGAAAACCAAGCATCAAACCTCAAAGATGTTTCAAAGCAGGGAGTGCAGGTTAATAACAAGCCAATCCGTCCACTATCATAGCAGTTATTATCAGCTGGAATACCTTCAACTTAAAAACACAAATCTAGTGTGCTTTGTATCTGGCATTCAGATTAAAAACCATCAACGTTTCAAACAATACAAGCTTTAACTGTGAGTTATTAGCAAAGCACTACAGTTCAAATACACCATGCTGTGGCTTCTTTAAACCAGTTTGTTTGTGCCTTCTGAGGGTAAACAGTAAACAAAGTCTGACAGTCAAGACAGAAACAGAAGCACCTCACTGTGCTGCAGGTTTCTACTTTACCTGTTACTCTAGACTGTACGTTAGTGTGATGCTTGAATACAATATTTAGCTTTTTGTACACAATGTAAAACTCCTCTACATTGAGTCCTGTTTGCCCTCCACAAAAAAGCAATACATACAAATAAAACAAACCAAAAAAAACATACAAATGACCAATAAATAAATATCAGTGAGAAAAATACACTGTTGAATAATTTTCTTGCTGTGTCACAGATCTATGATTGATAAAATAACTGCTGTGACTTAAAGAAAATAAGGAAAACACCCGATATTCTCCTGCACAACAATCCCAAATCTGCAACGCAAAACAAAAACAAAACAAAACCCATCACAAGTGCAACATCAGTCACGAGTCTCAGCATTAGGAAAGGAAAAATAAGCTCTGGTGTTCGACCAATCAGCTCAACACTACAGCATCAAACCAGAATGAATAAAAAAAAATCATGAAATAGAATCAAAAAATCAAAAAGCAGTGGGCAGGGATGAGAGGGAAAAATAAAGAAATTAAATAACAGCACACCATTTATGACCCAAACTGGGGTAACAAGAAATAAAACAAAGGAAAACAATACATAATAATAATAAAAAAATACTATTAGACTTTCAGCTCAGAGGTTGTCTTTACGTGGCGGTTTCAATACGGTGGCAGACACTACAGCGTAACGGTGAGGAGCCATTGCTCCACCTCGCCAGTAAAGGAAGCTCTGCACTGTCTGGGATCACCCATTTATTTCTTTGTTCAATTTGGTGTCATCTTTGCCCTGAATAATAATAACAAAAATAATAATAATAAAAACAGTAATCATAATAAAAAACAACAATGGACAAAAAATAAAAGCTAATAATAATGATCACCATCGATAAAGACTTTTGGTAGACAAAACTCACACGCGGCTAACTGAAAGAAACACACACGGCACAGGGTGAGGGGAAACAGGACGATCTCTAACAAACACTTTCTGCTAATAATGACACGGCTCCTGCTCCACCACGGTCCAAAGTGAAAACAAAAATATATATTGCAAACATTTCTTTTTTTTTTTTTAAAAAGGCAAAGAAAACAACTAAAAGTGTGTATTTTTCTAAATACACAATAATTCAACATTTTAAACACAAACATACGGAAATATGCGTAAAAATTATAAATAAGGATAAAGTTTTGTGCATCCCCGCCCAAACCCACCGGTGTCGTAGAAAGAAAACAAAAACAATGGCAGTTACAACGGAGACAATAACATGCAATTGATATACTTTACAGCATTGATCTGTATCTCCCCCAAAACTACAAACCCCAGTCTAACCCCGCGTCCCTCCCCGACCCAAATACAATCCTTAAATATTTGTCAGCTCATTCACAACACATCTCTCGCTCTCCCTCTACTCTTTAGCTGAAGGCGCTGTTTAAATCACACTGCGAGGGGGAGGGGCTCAAAAACTAAAACACACTGTAGCTAACTCCAGTTTGTTCGTAAATCTGTGAATGAACAGGAGGATTTCTCCCCCCATGGGAGCAAGCTGACATGCTTTGAATGACTGCATAGTGAAAATGATATTTGGTTTACTTACAGATGGTTTCACAACAAACACACACACCTCTGGCAAACTAAAATACACATAAAGCCACTATTGGCAGGAGCCAGCATTGCTGTGGAGAATGGGATGACTTTATACATTTTATGTGTGTGTGTTACAGATGTTTCCACACACACAGACACACACGGACAGCCATTCTGAGCACACCTGCCTTGACTGGTTTCACAGAGGTGTTGTGATGGTGTTTGCATGGAAATGCACACAAACAGAACAGAAGAGTGAGTGTGTGTGTTTTAGCAAAATAAACATCAGCTTAATAACAGAGCACAGCAGGAGACTGGGTGCTGCTCCGTGTTCAGACACACGTACAGAGTTTATGATCTAGAGTTTTAGACAAGCTAGCAAGCTAGATAAGTTCCAGGTCGTTTAAAAATATTAGCTCGCAAAGTATGTGCATCTCGGGTTAACACAGGTTAACTTGTATTACGAAGTTGACTCATGGTTAATCACCAGAATAACCAGTCCTGCATCTGGTGGGGTATCTGCAAACATGTGTGTGACGGGAATAACATACATTTATATTCATTCATAGGCACGTGTAAAAACAACAAAATGTGGACAGACAACATGAAATATGTTGTTTTTCTAGAGATATGTCAAATTAAAATAATGGTGCAGGATGTTTAACAACTGGATCAGCTAATTTTATTAAGCATAATCAGCAGCCATATTGTGAAGGACTTTCTGCCCTGATTGCACGGAAACTCTCAATCACCATCCTCTACAGTGGTATCGGGCAAAAAGGGTAAATTCTCCCCAATCTAACCAGAGTAAATATCAATCATTCTAGAGCAGTGCTTCTCAAAATGTGGTCCGCGGACCACTGGTGGTCCGTGAGCGCCCCCTAGTGGTCCGTGAGTATATCGGTAACATTTGAAATAAATAAATACATTTGAGTTTTCCGCACTCTCGCGGGAATATCTCCGCAATGGCGCGAGGTTAAGTTTCACTTTCTATTGCATGATAAAGCCCAGCGCAACACCTTCATCACACATGTTGCCACTTGTTTGTACCATTTTCAGGCGATTTGTAATCTGTTCAAAAAACACAATGTGTCTTTTGATATTTGTGGAGTTAGGTGGTCCGCGAGTGTTTTTTTATTGGTTAAGTGGTCCTTGGTATGAAAAAGTTTGAGAAACACTGTTCTAGAGGGTTTGATTAAAACGCAGTAAGTGTGTTTAATCGCACTACCTATATTAACGGGGTCAGGGCTTAACCTGGAGATAATGTGGTCAACGGATCATTTTTACACTCTTCCAGCTGTACTTAAAGGGACACTGTGTTTTATATATATTTAGTTTTACTTTACTCATCAGTAGTAGTATGTCTTCTCTGGAACTGGAGGGAGATTTTCTAAATTTAAAAAGTATCATGGATAATATAGAAAACGCTATAATTGGCCTGGCTGATATTAGCTTATATGTACTGTATGGATAGATCAGTTTTCATCATTTAGATTTAAAGTGAGCATCAGATGAGATGGGCCTCTGTTTTAAATAAGTGCACCAGTCTCCCCCTGTACAGTATAACACACACTCAGCACTACTACAGTACAGCGCCCCCCCCCTCTCCCACTAGCTATAGATTTCATATATATATCATAGCAGAGAGTAATCAATTATAAGGTCAATAACAATAGTCATAACAATTACACGCTTTTGTATTTACGTTGAGTTTTGACACCTTTGGTGTGAACTGTCATGTTGTCAAGCCTGCAGGCGACCTGTGGACAGATGGAGGGACGGGGGGACAGGACACAAAGCATCTGGACAGACAGACCTCCCCTCTAATGATAAACTGTACAGTTTAGTGTGACGTCAGGAAATAAAGGATGAACTACTTCCATTACACATAGAGCTACATTTGAGGTGATGTTAATATTTTAGTTAGTACTTTTTATAAATCCAACCTCCCACACTTTCTCTTCTTCTCCCTCTCCCACTTGCTTTCTCTCTCTTCAGACTTTCTCTGTATTTGGTAACACGTTGCATTATTTTACTTATTTGGCTTCAAAAAAAGAATAAAGTATTTGTCCTTTGGGGAAAAGAAGTGACAGCAGCGTCTAAAGCAATAAAAAGTAGCAGCAGTAGCAATGTAAATAAATAACATTGTTTCAACGGTAAACATCATAAACACAACACGCTAACTCACTCGCTAAAATCATAATTGGTAGGTTGGTGTAACACCATGAAAGCTTTTTACAATAACCAGCTAGCCTGTTTCCTCTCTCCTTATTCACACACTTACTTCCTGTCCTCCACCTCGCCTCTGACTATTCCCAACTTCCAATCCAACTTCCTTAAATCTCCCCGTCTACTTCTCACCACACTATCGCCTCCTCTCGTTTAGCTCTCCCTCTCCTTTTCTGACATCTCTCTCTCCCTCTCTCATACTTCACTTTTCCTCTCTCTATCGTCGCCATTTCGCACTTCTCTGTGTCTAGCAGTGATTTGGTTTTCTGAGTGACGGGGGAGTCTGCATATCTAGCAGGTTTCGGCTGTTGCCCGTCAAAAGGACTCTAGTCAGTCAGTCTCTGAAGACCTGCACTCAAAATGTGTACATCTACACATCTCAGTTTCAAACACATGGACCTGTTCAGGTGAGCTGGACACAGTCAATTTTATCTTTACAATCTTCTAGTTCAGGGGTCTCAAAGTTCAGTTTCCCACTGGCAGGGACGCTTCTCCAAGCTTTCTGCATAAATGCTAACAGCAGTGCAGCGCTGAACGCATGCGTGCCATTGGTCTTAGCCTATGACAGCTGGTTTGGGACTACTTGATTCATCAATTAGTCGGTCGATGACAAAAATATTCTAAAACCATTTAAATAATTAAAGAAACATTTCTGAAGGTTTTCTGGTTTCAGTATTGCCAGAATACAAGATGAACTGCTTTTCTTGGTTTTAAAAGATAACAAGGATATAAGGATTTGGAAATAACTGTTTGACTGAATTATTAAAGTAAAGATTAGTGATTCAGAGATACTGAATAAATCCTTATTTGCAATCCTGGGAAAACAATCTTTAAAACTAAAAGACTATGAAGGCAAAAAGCAGCTATAAGACCGAACAGCCATATTTAAGAATCAACTCTCAACATGTGGGCAGCTTTACTGGATCTGAGGCTTTGAGACCCCTGCTTCATAAAGATGTCTCTGTGGTTTCTGAAATGTTTGCAGGAGCAGGTCTAAATCTTTTGGCTCCACCAACAACAACCTACATGCAGCCTTTGGTCTGGTCACCCTGTGGAGCACTACGTCACAGTAAACAGCAGAGGCCGACAGAGAGGAAGAGGTAGACAAACTCAGAGTAAGAAAATGCTCCACAGGTTTTAACATCTTCCTCTTTGTACAAGATAAGCTCCTAACCTCTCCCTCGTTTCTCTAACTTGTAACAGTTATTCAAACAACCAAGAGTACAACTCCCTCCTTCTTCCACTTTCTCTGCTTCTCTCTCCCTTTCTCACTCGTTGGTTCTCTTCTTAGCATCCCTCCATCTCTTTTAGTTTAGCTATGTTATTCTAAACACAAAACCAAACCAACTCCTCTACAAAGCTAGAATGCAACACTAATTTTTTTGTAAGTATTTTTCATTGTGTTTTTCCCAATTGTGCAGCTTCTAAATACACGACGATACGGGTAACCTAAACATTACTCATATCAAAATGAATGAAAGTTACTATACTTAACATGTTAAAATTAAGCACCGCTAACAGATGAATTTATTATGGTGCGAGTGTAACAGCTGTAGTGTGAAGGTGAATAAATGGCTAGTAGATATAATCTCACTTTTGAAAACAACCAGTGACTGTGTCTTGATATCCATCCATACACACACACACACACACACACACACACACACAAACAGATTCAGCCTGAGAATGTGTGATAATAGAAACCTGAAGAGTCATAATTGCACGGGACATTTATGTGTCCTCAGAAAGGTTTTTGTACAAGAAAGATTCATGTTTGCTAATGTAGCATATGCTTTGTTCCAGTGTAGTGACTACTCTGTTCCAACGGCTTAGATCGATGCTGAAGACATGTAGGTGAGAAACTAAATGACACGTGGAGGACATGTAGGAACACAGTTTGTATGCAAGTGTGTGGCTATAACACACACTATGCTGTGACGTAATGATAGTGTGACGAGACAGTGTGTAAACAAATGAAGCTAACTACAGTGTGCACATCGTTTTCTCTACCCCCCCCCCCTTCCCATGTCTGCCTGTCCAGATTCAACACACTGAGAAACAGAACACCTGTGTCATCCGTCCGTCCATCCCTCCATCGAGGCTCCGCCCCCCCTCTGTGGGCTCTTCAGGGTCTCTGGTGGACAAATGGACAGGCTGGGTCTAACGCTAGGCTTAGCTGCTAACGCTGGGCTAGACTAGGGCAGACTGAGCCGGGCTGGGCTAGGCTACCTACTGAAGAGCGAGTGGAGCTGGTGCTGGTGGCTGTAACACTGGCTGCTGCGGGGCGACTCGGTGCGGTCCATCACCGCCTGGAACCAGCCGGCCACGTCCACGTCCACCACCTCGTAACGCCGGATGAAACTATGCTCCTGGATGAGGAACACGAGGAGATACAGAGAGGAGGGGGGGGGGGGGGGTTTAGTCACATTGAACCATTTTGTCATTTGGGTGAATCTCAGCAAAATGTTTGTTGCTCATTATGACGAGTCTCTTACCAACAGCGTGTGGTATTTTGGCCTTTTTCTGTGATCCTTTGTGAGGCTGTGGAAAGACACACAAATAAAGCTTCAATAAGACGTTTTAAATACACATGACATATTTGGAAGGAAAGGCAAGTCTCTTTACAGAACCTGCTCAAGGCAGGAATGTTTTGTTGTTGTTTAGATTCAAGATTCAAAGTCATAGGCACATAAGTGTAGAAACGGCAATGAAAAACATATGACCCGAGCTCCTCCAACAATGCCACATAGTTATATAATAAAATACAAACATAAAAGATAGTGCATAAAGTCTTTATACACATAAATAGAATATGATATATACATATATATTTAAATATTGTTTATTACAGTGAACAAGATCAAATAATCTATAAGCACCTTCTCCAGTTCTGGATGTAATTATGTGTTCAGTTATGAAACCACCACCTGATGACCTGAGAGTTCAAATTAGTAAAAGAGTGGGATCTGTACTCACCAGTCTTTGACGAAGGACTGGAAGTCGAGGGAGAAGCCCATGCCGAGGGGCAGCAGAGGAGGGTCTTCCTGCAGCACTTTGGTCAGAACCTCAAAGTCTGTCTTACAGTTCTTGTAGGGAAACTGTCCCGTGGCCAGCTCCACCTACAGGACACACAGAGCCGTTAACATCCACAATGAAGCAGCACCACCTCTCCCTTTATGCCTATAATGAGTTCCACACAGGGATATCATTTATACCCAAACATAATAAAAGGTAACACAACAAATAATAAGGTAGAGAAACTAGTCATTCACAATGATTTGTTCAATATGCATGGTTTTTAGATGTGTTGCTTATTTCGTACATTGACACGCTTAAATGTTTTACAAAACATGTAAATACATCATTTGAATCCAATATACTGGAGGAAGAAGTACCAGAGCTAGCTCCAATTTTAAGGGCAAGTACTTTTATTTTATTGTAATAAAATGAGAAAAGCTTTACCAGAGAGATGCCAAGGCTCCACACGTCTGCTCGGATGTCATAGTCAGGTTTGGTGGGATCTGGAGGGTCTATTCTCTCAGGCTGCAAGAACACGAGAACAGGTGTTATCGTAATTCAGTTTTGTGTTGGACAGGATGTGATCAACTTAATGTTAGAGATACTTGATGTGTCTTAAGAGCAGTGTGTGTGAGTTTTGACTCACCGCCATGTAGGCAGCACAGCCGGCGCTGCGGGTCTTGGCTTTGGAGTCGACGAGGCGTCCGCTGATGCCGAAGTCACACAGTTTGATCTGACCTTTATCGTCCAGGAGGATGTTGGAGGGCTTCACGTCCCGGTGGATGACACCGTGTTTGTCTTTCAGGTACAGCAACGCCTTCACTATCTGGAGAAGAAACGCACAGCACAACAAATTAGAACAGAACAGGTGAGCAGTGTTGCACTTTCTCATCTGCAGTGTTCATACAGAGGTTACAAAATAAACCCAATCACGAGGCATCCCGCTAACCCTTACCCTAACTCTAGCTTCAGACAGACATAGCCAAACTCATCAAAATCATCTAACCAAGCTAAGGGCTCCAAAGTACACAACGAGCAAGTGTCCTCATTAAGTAGCAAGTGCTATGTGAACAAACCCCTGCAACATCAACTAATAACATTAAATAATAACAAATGAATAACATCAAACCTCAAAATACAATGTTATGTCTTGAGGAGACTGAAGTCTTTTGGACAAAATGTCCTCTCCATTAAAGGCAGCTCACTCTGGAATAGCCTCCCAACTGAGATACGGGATTGTCCCTCTCTCAGTAGCTTTAAAGGTCAACTCCAACAATGGTTGAGAAACAAACATCCGTGCAATCACTGCTAAATGCACTTTAACACAGGGGTACTCCTCTTGCACTTTATGTAGCTCTTTTACCTTCTCTTGCACTTTATATATCATAGCTGCTACATTGTACTGCCATGTGGTAAATGCTTGTATGCTGCTCATGCTCTTCCTGCATGTCATATATTTATTTTTGCTATGTATATAAATGTCATGTTCTTATATGTCGTATGTGACGGGACTACCGATGGAAATGAGCTCAAAGCTAAAATCCGGCTCATTTACACTTGTAAGCATTATTTCTTTTTAAAGTGTTCATCAATGTGCACTGTTCAAAGAAACGATTCAAATGAAAAATGTGGTTCTATGTTTTTCTGTATTGGAAAATACTTGAATAGTGAAATTAAAGCACATTGTGTGAATGTTGCATCTGCGTGGGAGTGTGTGGGAGTGTGTGTGTTTTTCCACTTACTGCTACTGTCATCTTCCCGAGGATGCGCTCCGGCATGGGGCCCTGGATTCTCTTCTTCAGCTTCTCAGCACACGTTCCCATCAGCTCCATGGCAATGAAGACATCCGTCTGTACACACACATCATTTAAAAACACATTTACCAAACACATTCCCCTTTTAGTGGTTCAGTTGAGGAGGGGGCACGGGGGTAAAAGGAGTCCGATTGCATGCAAATATAAAAATAAACCAGAGGCTCCAGTTGGTTTGGGGAGACTGCATTTAGCAGTGGAAGTGCTCCGATTCCTCCCGTGCTACTATTTGTTGTTAAGAATAAACACTGAAATGTATTTTGGGGACACCCACGTTGGTAACTATGGCGCCATAGCACTGGATGATGTAGGGGCAGTCGTGACTCTTCAGCACCACGTCCAGGTCCATCAGGATCCTCTTGTTCTCATCTTTGTTTCCTGTACGGCGCATTTGCTGGTGACACACACAGAAACAAGCCATTAGAAAATGACAAAACAAAGACCCCTCTGGTGAGCTGACTGCCTGGTTGTTAAACAGCTCAGTGGGCTATAATTAAGACGTCTCTTCATTAAGAGGGCTGTTATGTGAGGTTATTAGTGCCACCGTGTTGGGAAATTAGCCACAATCCAAACACAACGGGAAGTCAGAGAGCTAAGCCGGGGTTAGCATCGCGCTCCTGCTGAATTGTATTCACGTTTACTGGTGTTTTAGAGTTCATGTCTTTATGATCCTCGGCCTTTAGGGACCTTTTTGGTTGCATTTTGAAAATAGGCCTTAAGTTAATACATAACCATTGCACTCATTACAATTTGTTTCCTCATATGGTCAATTTGACATCATTAGTAAAGCATAAATAACTAAAAATAACTATAAATTGCTCATGTAAAGAAGACGTATGGCATGTTTAATGACACTGGCTACCTGTCTAAATTAAAATTGTGCGAGGGGTGCTGTCATTCATTAGGAAATCCATCTTTCAATTTGTTTTGCACAGCTTAAATACAATAGTAACTCCAGCAGCTTACAAAGAATGCTAAGGATTAATTGTGTGAATGAAAAAAGTAGTTCATCTTTCTGTACAGAGTTTACACAACACACAGTTTAGCTGTTACCAACTCCCATCAAAATTCACCTTATTGAAAAAGCTTCAAAATGGAAATCACATTTACATTAGGTAATATAAAGATGTTTCCTATTTGTTGTGCCTCTGTATTATTAAATAATTGTTCTCTTGTTAACATTTCCTGTCTAGATTTTGACACATATATTTGTACATCGCAAATTGACAATCAATCTCAACAGCTGTAGGTGATGGGACCCTATAGCCATAACACTTTTGCCACGGGGAAATATGAAATCTTAACCTAGGAGATTTAATTTCACAGAAAAGTGGAGGATTCAAATCCTCTCTCTGTACGTTTGTTCTGTTTAAACAAATAAGAAGCAAGTCCTGATGAATGTGTGGTGTAAACAGAGTGCAGGGTCTTACTTTCACAGCGATGACATGGGCGGTCTTCTTGAATCGCACTTTGAAGACTTGTCCGCAGGTCCCACTGCCGATCTCCCCCTCACTGATCAGGTCTGTCACCTCTGCTGGATACCGCTGTGGACGGGCAAAGGAACAGAGAGAAATAAGTCTTTAGATTATGCTACATTTGGATTTACTGGTTAAAATGTTAATGTTGTCTCTTTGCGATATCCCCGAGCTGAAAACAGATGAGAGGCCAATTCAGATGTTCTGCTTCGTAAGGCAACAGCAAACCCCTCTGGGCCATTTAGTCACAAATGTTTTGATGTGTAATTAAGCTGCTCCCCCATTGGCCCCGCCTAAGAATACCATGACACAGCGGGAAGATAAATATATTTCTTTGCTTTGCTAAAACTAATTATTTGTGACTGAAATGAGAGTGACGATTGGTCAAGCAATTGACGTAGAAACCCCTCTGAGCTAATGAGAATAAGTAACAACAATCAGGAGTAGATCATGTTCTCGGGCATCTTCAAACCCTGACAGGCACTGACTGTGAAACGGGAACTGAAGGCTAGAAGAGGGAGAAAAACAAACTTAAAGAATTGGGGCCGAGCCATAGCTAATCTAAATGTTATCTTGTTAGCCATAAACAAATACCCATCCAAACTGTTTTCATAAGAATCTGTTTCTTGTAAAGGAGAAGCAAAATGCCAGGGGCTGTTCTTTCCCTTCATAGAGATTCTCTGCTCTCCTCAAAGACACTTCAGTAGTCTGGTATGGATGTTTGCTTTTATAGGGCTTTGACCTTGACCTGGGTTGTCTCTGTTTTCAAGAGGTCCAGACATTACAAACTGGTGACTGTAGTCAAATAGAAGTAACATTTGTTGGGGACTTTTTTCAGCTGTGGAATAATACACATTTACTGCTTTTGGGAGTTTTTACAGGAGCAGGTTGGACTACTACTGTATGCGGGACTGAGTCATAATAAATGACAGTCTTCATGTCCACAGTACACAGTAGAAGGAACATGTTACCCCGTGTGGCACATTAATGTGTTTTTAAATTGTTTTTGGAGAACAAAATAGGTCAAATAAAATACATCCAATGTACTAGGATGTCTAAGTTGTTTTTCTGGTGGAAGATTTGCTGACCATAACCATGTATCACCTGCCTGATGATCTCTCACCCTGGTTTTCAGTTATGTATTTAACAAAGTGTATGGAATCAACATTTTTCAGACTACAGAAAGTCAACATGTGTCACATCTCACCGTGCCGTCGATCTTCAGGTAGCCCGTCTGTTTCATGATCTCCTGCAATTTCTGGTCTATCTCTGCACTGTGGGGACAAAAGACACCGTGTGAGAGGGTGCAGAAGCTACAGTACGTATGTTTCAGTGTAAAACTCCCATAGCAACATAAGAGAGGCTTCTGACTCACAAATGGATGCTGTGTGCATTTCTGTACACACTTTAAACCCACACACAAGTGTAGATGTACTCCGTGAAACACAACCTGCTTTTCTTTAGATGACCTTTTGTCCGGCCCACTTTCCATTTTTAATGTTGTTCATGTGACGATCTTGTTTGTATTATGTGAGATCACTGTAACTATTTTGTCTCTTTATATTTATAATTCCTCTGTACTAAATATTTCTTCATAATTATTTTCAACCAGATAGTTGTGACTCAACAGTAAGACTGGCTGACTTTCGTTAAGTCATTGCTCATAATAATTGTACTAATCACTTTCCCAGTTAAGTATTTTATTCAGAAAACAAAAATAAAATGTAAATGTAACCACATATTAACCAACATCTCACAACAGCAGTAAGTCTTTGAATTATATACAGGCAATTATCGATGCTGCATAAACAGTCATTTTAGACTAAAAACTTCAGTTTCTAGTAGTAATTAATCTATGAACATCATCACGTGTGCACATACTTCTCTAAGCTCTTCTGCAGGGCGTAGGGAGGGGTGGGCAGCGTGAGCATGTGTCGCGGGCGGCTGGGGTACGGGTGGTGCTGAGGGGAGCTCTCTGAAGACGAGGAGCGGCTGCCTCCATCGTTGGCCAGTGGCAGCTGGAGCGCTGGGGGGGGGGGGGGGGGGGACATGACACATTAGAAACAGACAGGAAAACGGAGCGAGTGGTACAGTGCGTTTTGCACCCGAGGCCAGCATGCCAGAAGGTGTAAACGCATGCATTTACTGACTGCCTCATTTCAGTGGTTTAAAGAGGTCTTGCACAAATAGAGAAGGAGGTAATGTGTTTTATTTGCTTTGTTCAACACATTTCAGTGTTTAAATTGACTTTGTATTTCCATTTTGAAAATCTGGGCTTCAGGTTCTTTTTTGCACAATTGAAAGTGATTGAGAAATCCTTTGGAATGATCGTATCCTGTGTAGTATCAAGGAAAAAGGGTTCCCATGAGACAGCCAGGGAAACTGGCCTGTGCGGGGTCAAAGTGTTCTTTCACCACAGCCCTGCTATCTACACCCTGGGTAGGATTTAACCAGCATATGAACTTGACTTGTTTTCATTTCCCAGAAGTTACAGCTTTGTTTTTATTTCGCTGATGTCCCGACCTAATGTTAAAACAAACAGGACGGTTATCTCACAGCAAAAGCAACACCATTCTCAGGCAGGGGAGAGAGCACAGGGTTAGCCCACAGCTTGGGAGGTACAGTTTGGGGATGTGGATGTCGACAGTTCACTTTTAAAGGAAAACTATGGTTTATTAATACTTGGGTTTTGTTCATCAGCTGTAGCCTTGGCTTATATTATGCACTGTACACACGAAAAGGACTGCTGAGATCTCGGCAAAAATACAAAGAAAAGACCAATAAGGAAAGCAGTACAGGGCTTCAGTTGTAATCAACCACATGGATTTGAAATCCAAAGTGAGCGCAACCGTAATATTTATAATTATCACTGTACAAGAAAACTTGGTGTGTGTCAAACAATTTGTCAAAGTTAGTCAATTTGGGAAATGAACTCGATGTTTACAACCTACAGTTTGGGTAATCATTTCAAATAGATGTATGTATGTACACTAACAGAACGGATAGCCTAAGTAATGAAAATACAACCCAGATTGTAATAAACTGCAGTTTGACATAACATCAACTGATTCCCCTAAACTATTTGATAAACAAGACGCCATATTGACTGGCTGTTGCAACATGCTGCCAGCCCTGTAGGTCTAACTCGTTCATTCAAGGACAAGTTAAGACTCAGCTGACCTTGTATATCAGGTGTACGTGCAAGCACGGACTCATTTCCAAATTGTGATGTAAAAGAATTTCAGGAAAACAATCTCACGTGATGATAGCACAGACCTGTCATGCGACCAAATTAAAAGACTATGTGTGCGTTCCATAACCCATAGTAGCATACTTTTTAGTATCCTTGAAAAAGTGAAGTTCTAATACATAGTATGTTAAATCCAAGAAGCAAAAAAATACCAGGAAGCCATATTGCATCATTTTGCAGTACGGAATCTGGCCTGCTTTTCTGTCTATTCTGACTCGCAATCCTTTGTGAAGGGGATATATTAGAAGGACAATGTTATGAAGAAACCGTCAACATACTAAATGCGACAGTACATGCTCTGTCAGGGAAGCTGTGAAATATTTAGAAAGTAAAAAAGAAAAGTATGCCATTTAGAAAACAGCGTCTGACTATGTATTTAAGGAGTTTAGTTTTCATTCATTATCATCAATTTCACAACAGCAACTTTTTACACGTTTGGAACCAATTTGCAAACCCTAAGAGAACCATGCAGCCATTATTAATATTAATATGATTAACATTATGTTTGTAGTAGAAGGCTGGCATCTCTTCTGAGAAAACCAGCAGGTGTTTTATATCCACGAGTCACCTGTGGAGGGATGCGCCTGTAAGGGGAGAATCAGTTAGTGAAGGAGAGGAGGGGTTAGTGTGGGGAGGAAGAAGGACCCAGGCAGTCTTTGGCACAGATTGCATCTCCATAGCTCGGCTGGCTCCAGATGAACGGATGTGAGGACAGACGGGCAGACAGACAAGGAGACGAACAAACACACAAATACTCGCAGGCACTGCTGCACCGCCTCCAGCTCACACAGTGCTGCTGCAAAAAGGGAGGAGGCGCAAGGGGGGATGCCAGAGGATGAATAAGAGACAAACAACATCAAACAGAGAGAGAGGAGAACTTCGGCCAAAACTGCATAGCACAGACTAAGCTGGAAGTCAGACAGTCAGTCAGTCAGACTCGGACAGGAAGTCTTCAGGCTCCACACACAGAGAGAGAGAGAGAGAGAGAGCAGCCAGAGTGTTCACTCCTGCAGACGGACCAGTGGGGATGCTGGATTAGAGACTGTGTCGGACAAAACACAACCCAAAACATTGTGTCGTGCAGAAAAGCTACATGCACCATGATCTCTGCCTCCAGCAAAACAAAGGTTAATTATCTGACGCACGTCCACACAAACACACACTGTGGACATCAACACACACCAACACTGCCCTGCCACTGGCACAGACTCACGGTGAGAGAGGAGTCAGAATGGAAAGACAGAGAGGATGTGATTCGAGGGGAGGTGTAAATAACTGCTCGGCTAAAATATCAGAACTGGTTTCACAGACATAGATTTAGTTTCAACCCGTTAGCAGAAGGTCTTATTAAAACGTCAGACACTGTTGTCAATGTATTTCTAACATTCAAGAAATGTAAAACCAGTCAAATGTTTTAACTAATCAGGCAGATGTACTTATGGGCCTTTGTGATCCACGTATTTCATTTATCGTTGTTGTACTTCTACAAACATTTGAGATGTACATCTAGATTTGTTAGAGAGAGTTATTGACTATTATAGTCTTTTGTTCAGGCATTTCTCACAGTCTTTTTAGTATTTTTAATAAGACTGAATGTAAGAAACGATCATTCAAGTGTAAAGAAGACACATGAGTAATTGCAGTAAGTGAAGAGCAGTATTGAGAGCCTAATGCAGGAGTTAAAATATGGCACTAAACTTAACTGGGCAAAATGTAAGGAGCTGGATGGCCTGTGTTCTTCTCTGATAGGTTAAAAAAATAAGAAAGATAAGGGAGGAGGGGATGGGGGGTGAAACGGGGGACGGAGGTGTTGGGGGAGAGAGAGAGAGAGGTGCAGTGGCAGAGAGAGCGATGGATTGAATGATACCTGCACGCTGGGAAGGGGCTGGAGCAGGACTGAGCTGGATCACGATGACTAGACAGAGGAAAGAAAATATACACACACACGCAAATTACTGCACTGTACGACTAACACGATCAGACACACACAAGCATACACACACATCTCTCGAAAAATTATACAAATACACGGAAAAATACATTCTGACTCTTGTATGAGTTCTGTGTTCTCTTCACACAAACACATCTGAGTTTTTTTCCCCCAAAAAAACATTTTGATGTGGTTTGGTAATATAATGGCTGTTATCCGATTAACTAAATCAGATGGTATTGAGGCATTACTCCTTTTTGGCATAGGAGAATCATTCTATGGCTTGGATTAAAAGGCAATACTTCTTCTTTTTGAGAAGTTTCAAAAATTGAAAGCTAAAGTAACCTCTAAAAAACACATTTCAAACAAAAGGCACAAAAGCAGATTTGTGGTCAATGTCTCTTCAACCTCATGAATAGACAAGTGATCTGTAGGAAAGAATGATCTTTAAACAGTCAGTGAGCGAACAGGGTTTCTGATATCGGTGACAAGCAGTTTTTAAAGTCCAATATGTTGCCACAGAGTTTGTTTTGGTGTAACATGTCAGTGCAGGCATGATGTTGCAGCACTGAACGAGCCGGGCTGTCTAAAGAGATTTTCATTGTTTTTTAAAGCTCTCTCTGACAGTGAGCTATTACGGATCATGATTGTGGAACATTCTCCCAGAAGACCTGACTGTCATACTTTAAAGAGCAAAGTCAAGACCCACCTTTTTAAATTTGGTTTATAACAGAATTTTATTTTATTATTATTCAATTTAAATTGTATTCTTTTTTAAATATTTGATTCATGTTTGATTCAGTCCTGCATTGGTATTAAGTGTTCTTTTTTAATCACAAAGCTGCTACTCTGGATATACCCGAGAAGGGGGAAATAGTATTGTTACTACTTTTTGTAAATTGGCTGTTTTTGGTTTGTGAAGCACTTTGAGTTACATTTGTGTTTGAAAAATGATAAATAAATAAAGTTTGATTTGATGATTTTCTTCTCAGGGCCCAACATTACAGTTTCACCATATCTTACAAAACTCATATGTACTGACAACTGTAAAGGGTTTTATGACAATAAGTCTGTAGCAGACTAAAATCCAACCACCATATGTAAGAAGTAGTTTATAAAGCTTAAAGATATAACCAACGCCTGGCAACGTCTGTAGAACGTTAGCTAACAGAACTGATAGCTCCCACACATTAGCGTCTGTTTCGTCAAGGGTCAAAACTGCCACTGAAAACTGACTTTGCCGCAGGAGACACAAGCAAACACGCTGCTTAATAATAACGTGAAACTTCAGATACACTACAGATAAATGGCATCTCCATTATATTTCACAACGAGGTTGAACACTACATCAGATTTGACGATGGGCCCTGCCACCGACTATCACTCATATTGCTAGCTTGTTAGCATAGCTTGTTTGACAGGACAGTCAGAACAGATTTCGGGACGTGACTGCCAGCGAAACATTTGATGACACCACTTTATTTGTGATTTTATTTTGCCTCACCCACTATAGAAATTGTCCTACTTGTTAAGTAAGTGATTCGATGGTCAAATCAAACGACTGAGCTGAGTCGGTGTTTGTTTATGTAGCTAGCCTGTTAGCATGTAGCAGCATAACACCCCCTCCTCCCTCCGCCTCTCCGATCTTTCCCCCTGCTATTCTGCCCGTTACCGACACCCCGGTGCTCCCCGGTGGACACTCACTCGGCCTCGGACGTGATCTCTGCGGACTCATCTCGATGTTAAGGTCGATTCTCCTGCGAGCTTCTTCATTTTCTTGCTTTAGTTTCTCCTCGATTCGCGACAACCTCTTTTCCAGCGACGACATCTTGAAAAATTGAGCACCATGTAGTTCCCAGCAGCGCTCTCGACTCCCTCTCCGGCAGGCAGGCAGACTGGACCCACACACACACACACGCGCTCGCACACACACACACACGCACACGCACACGCACGCACGCACGCACACACACACACACACACACACTAAACTGATCAAATGAATAGTAATTTACCAATTTATTTCGTACGGATATGATTATTGAGGAGGAATATCATGTACTTATCAACTCCTAATCAACTAACCCCTTGCCCTTATTCCTCCTAGCTTAGCACTTTCTACTTTTGTTATTATTTAGTTTTACTTGCTTGTAAGCGCTTTGAGCACCAGGAAAAGCGCTTTATAAATGTAATGTATTATTATTATTATTACTTATTCAACTACATCACATGGTACTCAAACATAAGGTTGAGTTTGCTTAGTTACCAATAAACTGTAAACAATTATGTTCTCAATGTCAACCTTATTGTTGAGCTTTATAAAAGTAAATTCTTGACCTTAGGCTGCAGGTGTCAGACATGCATACAAAATCGTAACCTGGAACATGAATTGACATTTTATGAACTAAAATATTTTGCCATTACAACCCAAGCTTCAATCGAACACATGTGATAAAGGCCGTCCGGTAGCCGAGAGTATGTCTGCTGTCACATAAGGGAATAATCATTTAGTAAAATATTTCTCTGATGTACTGTATGTGTTTTGCTATTAAATAGTCAAGAGTGATCTCTTAAATTTGATTACTAAAGCAAGGTTGTCCAATTGTGAGGTCAACTTTTGTGTTTGAATTAGGGCTATATTGTTGAAATCAATAACATTACATTTGTAGAACGGTCATGTTTTATATGATTAAAGAGATTGGTGGACTATTGATCAGAAAACTAATCATCATAATAACTAATACGCACACGCTTCTATTCTCCAATGTAAGGATTTGCTGATGGAGCCATTTTATTTAGTTTTAAATCAATTACTTTTGGACCTTAGATTTTCACTAGACAAAACAAGCAATTCAAAGAGACACTAACATTGGATCTGGTCTATGTGTTCTCAAGTTTTGACAAACTATGTTACATTTTTGAAGACTCAACAGTTATAATTTAATCTAACAAATAATCAAAAGATGAATTTATGGTCAAAGTTATTAAAATGACAATTTACATTTTGGAAAAGGGATGATAGGATATGCACATATTACGACTCAATACCCCTGAATGATATTGATTTAGCAAAAAAACACAAAACAATGTAGAACATCACCCCTCAGTTTAAAATACTGCTGCTAAATGGATAAATAAAAACTACTGATACGGCTATGTTTTAGTTTTATCTCTTCTGTTTTCCTGGCTCTCAAGTGTCCTTAGATACTGTACACAAAAACAACACAGACAGATTATTCACTCCAAGTTTTCTTTATAAAATAAGTCATCTCATACTCTCACATGGTTTTTGTTTTGACACAACACAAGATAAGTAAAATCCACACATCATACATACAGCTTCACAACAAACCTCGCCTCTACTCAGAAATGTTTATACCACTGGCTCATATTTTCAAGATATATCATTGTGTTTTAAATGATATTGTTTCTTTAGAAATGTATTGCCAAGATACCTTGTTCGCTGGGATGTGATGTGGCCGACAATATTTATTTTGATTGCGTCACCACCCAGATTTTCCAGATATTCACCAAGATATCCATTGGTTTGATCTGAAACAAAGATAACTTCATCTGCAATAACCACCACGGGTAGCTTTTAAATGTATTGTTGGAATCAGTTCTCTAAAACAGACACTAAAACAAATGCTAGAGCCAGAGTTTGTTGAGTTTAAAGTCACATATAAATGTCTTGAGGGGAAATTACTTACTTCATGTACACAAAACTCTGGTAGCATGTAGATAACTGGAGCAATGCGTCTTAAACTCAGAATGAACAAACACAATAATGTTACTTGTGCATGAAGTTTTAGTGTTCAGTTTTTTTTTGTAATAAAAAAAAAGTGAAATACAGTGACCTGTTTGCTACATAGCATTTAATGCTGATGGTTGTGATACCATTTCCAATTAAAAAGTATGTGGTTGGTACTGAATAATGGATGAGGAGTCAACGGTCATAAAATATGATTACTTAAAAATTGCAATTGTAACATTTGTGGCATTCATTAAAATCCAAGCAGCACTATTTTTAAAAGTGGTTGGTAGAATTCCAAGGAATTAAGAAGTGATTCTTTACCCCGTAGTTATATTTCATAGTTCGCCCAGCATTGGTCAGCATGACTGAGGCTCATCATCACACCACTGCTGGGGAAGCTTCAAATACGAATTCACTCTGAACGAGACATCACAATTCCCACTCTCACAAGCAGGTCCTCTCGGTTTCTCACTCTTCTTCCTGCTGCTGTATACAACGGGCCACAACATAAAAACATGATGCTTTTCTGTGGATCAAATACAAATGTAAGGCATTGGTATGAGAGGCCATTAAAAAGTCAGCAGCTCTTCCTCACAGCTGCACGGGTGAATACAGCGACACATAAGAGGATGGGAGGAGGTAATTTAAAAGGCTAATGTTTGTAAAGATACACAAGTCACTGGTGTGATGTACGAGGATTGGGGGCTTCGTTTGTACAACCCCACCAGCTGTCCGTCCTGGCTTTTATTTTCTCAGCTTTCTATCTTTATAACTTGTAGACACACAAAACACAGACCGACTGGCTCTGGTCTCTCCACATTCATTCACAGTGTAATTAACGGCAGACAAACAGTCAGCGGACAGTCAGTTGGGACCGGTGGTCCGCTCAGATAAAACCGTTGTGAAGCCTTTAAAGTCAAACATTCCTCTTCGTCTTCAAGGCCCACTAGCAGAGGTCGGAAACGTAGTCAAAGTCCCGGAAGCTCTCCTGGTCTTTGCGGGAGAGCACACGAGGTTCGCGTGGTGGCGTGAGTGCCGGAGGTTCGGTGGTGAACTCCTCGTCGAAGTTGCTGACGTCTTCCTTCCCGACAATGGAGGGGACAAAGGGGGGCGGAGCCTTCCTCTGCAGCAACATCTCCCAGTCCACATTCTAGAGGCGGACAGAAAGAAAAAAAAAAGACAATAAATAATTAGAAAAGGTGAATATAAAAAAAAAAAAGAAGAAAGAAAATATTAAAAAGAAAATGTGCACTTACTCTGAAGAATGGCTGCTTCTTAATTTCCTCTGCATCCTTTTCACCAGAGCCCAGTCTTCTCTCCGGGTTCCTTCTCAACAGCTGATCACAAAAACACATACAAGAATCACAAATTGCTCATGACAAGAAAGAGTATATTTCAGTATTTATGTGCGTGTGTTTGTGTGTATTCTTACCCTTCTCATAATGCCGATAGCCTCGGTGGACAGAAAGCGTGGATAGCGGACTTCGTCATTCACTATGCTGTCAAACACCTCCTCTTCATCATCCCCTGGGAATGGAGACTATAGAAACACACACAATAGGTAAATAAAATCCATTCTACAGATTTCACATATCACGCGCCGCTGCTGAATGTATGCGCGCCTCTGCTACTGGGCGCCAGCTAGGTACCAACAAATAATATTATTAAATCATTTTAATACATTAAAATAATAATCCGTGGCCACACAGCCTCTGTGAGCGAGCGAGACAGAGAGAGAGCTAGAGAGAGCACACCTTTAACTATTTAATATAACTGTAAAAAAGAAAGTAAGAAATCATTCCAATGCGTAATATAGGACAGTAAAAAAAAGTGATTAGTGAAATATGCATAAAGAAAAAGAAAGAATGCTAACTAGGTAACATAAGATAAGAATAAATACGTTTAAATTATTTGTTATTGGTTGTGATCATATTCTAAAGATGTTTGGATTATTGAAAAGTACACAGCTCTCTTTCATACGAGTGTTGAGAGCTGTATCCATAAATTCATTTTGTGCTCAAAGTGCACCAGATTGATGCATTTCACTTCAACATTTAAAAAAGAAAAAGCCCGGACCCCCCTAGAGGATGCGAGGTCCACCCCCAAATAAAGTAGGTTAAAATAATTAAATTGCATACATTTTATTTTGATTGTTTGTTATGTGGATGTGTAGTATTTGTGTTACTGTATGTTCAATAAAGGTGATTTAGCAAAATACACCCGTAGAGCCTCAAGAGCCTTTCTTGTGCTGGCAGACACATAGAAACATATTGGCGGGGCGCACTTCGCACGTGCACACACATTTAGCTGGGCCCGCGTGCCTTAGCACCGCTGCTATGACTCCATCCTAGGGTTGTTAGTCATTTTAAACATCCAGTTATCTTTGTAAAAGGTGAGAAGCAATATAAATAGCACATCTAAGACTGAAGTTATTCAGCGCACTTGCAATATGATTAGTTATTTTTAATTAAAGATTTTAGGGACACCTTTTTATATACATTTACCAATATGAAATCTATATAGTCTTGGCTATGATATTGGATGGATAGTAAACTAACAAATATGTAATGTGTGTTCACGCAAAGCTTATTTCAGCTATCCTCCCATACACCGTGTAAAGGCACTAGTCTGTATATATGCTTAGTTCTCACCTCTCCAACCAACATTTCATAGATGAGGACCCCCAGTCCCCACCAGTCTACCGCTCTGGTGTAGGATGTATCCGTCAGGACCTCGGGGGCTAAAAACTCTGGAGTCCCGCAGAACGTGCTGGTCCGGTCCCCGAAGCCCATTCCTACAGACAGAGACAGATTTTTAGAGGAATTCTGCAGATGGCTAAAAATAAACGCCCATCTGTCAGCAACATCAATATCCACCTTCTTTACACAGCCCAAAGTCAGCGATCTTCACATAACCATCTGTGTCGAGCAGCAGGTTGTCGAGCTTGAGGTCTCTGGAAGAGAGGGGAGATAGAAACGTGTAGCTGAGAATCTGTACACAATGTTAACGAGTACAGCTGAGAGGACACAAGGAGTTTAAAAGAGATACAACCGAGACAAAACATTTGCAGTTGTGCTAATTTATCTGTGAGACTTTGCTGAGGCCCGGCTGATATCCAGCAATGTTTACAATAAGAGCTTCTCCAGTTGACTTAACAAATATGAGAAGTCACATATTTGTTAAGTCAATTTAACAATTCTACACATTGTCCCAGAATTAATTTATACAAATGTTACTATTGCTATTTTAAGACCATATAATGTAACTGTTATAATGATAGTGTATTAGTATAATAATGCAAGTACAGTCATTGGAATTCTAATTGGAAGATTTAATTGTAATCAATAAATACAAATAAAACCATTCCCAAAAGCCGTAAATAAAAATGAACTTAAAGGTTTGTTATATAAAATGCTCAATGTCTGCACAATGCCCAAGGTTAATCCTGCTGTTATTTCTGGTATTATGTTTTCTAGAATGTTGGTGGCATTTGAATGTAAATAAATACACATTTTAACACAAAGGGAAATATCAAAGTAAGTAAAAAATGATCAAGATTGTGTCGATTACGTAACTATTATAACATGCCCGGTTTGTTGCTTATAAAGTAGACATCCCTTTTTTACATCCCCACCGTCATGTGAGGACACAGGTTTGTGTGGGTTCCTCTTACCTGTACACAATCTTATGGTCGTGGAGGAACTGAAGTCCAAGAACTACGCAGGCTGAATAAAACCTAAAGACATACCAAATAAATGTTATTGCTAACCTGAAATAAAAGGGAGTAAAATGCAAATCTCATTTTGCTACCAAAAACTGACACACTTTGACTTCTAGTACTAATAAGACGGTGAATGCATGTGTTTAATGGCAAAGTTGTAGGCTTTCGGTTTTGGTCATGTCCGCTGAAAAAGACAATGAATTAAGTGATCATTTGCCGGATGTACCAGATGCCAAAGAAGTTTGATTCCAAAACTGGTTTAAAAACAACATTTTCCACTACAAACTTTTTTAAAAGTCTGTCTTATATCAACCCTGACATTCCCATATGAACACTGAATAAGGTCCCGTCTATACTGGCCACAAATACATTGCTTCCAAATGTGTTTCTACAATAAGAGATGTGGGACAAAATGCATTGTTGTCATAATCTTAATTCAGCTGAAGCTATTATCAGTCTTCAGAAGTCTGAGACAAATGAAGTGTATATTTGTCAAATTGTTTCAGTGTCAAATATAGTCTTTCCTTATCAAATTGCATTGGATGAACTAAACAAAAACCATCGTTACATACACGGCTCGGGGCTCTGTGAAGACGTCAGTGTGGATGTGCATCATCAGGTCGCCTCCTGCTGTGTACTCCATGACAAAACACACATGCTCCGGCGTCTGGAAGCACGCAAACAGGTTGACGAGGAAGGGGTGGTGTGACAGGTTCACCACCTCAAAGATGCGCTTCTCGCACATTAGACTGATGAGGGAGGGAGAGAAAAGGTGGAGAGGAGGAGGAAGCAGAGATACAAAAAATGAAGGATTATTGGGAGGAAAGGAAAAAGATTAGAGAATAATTAAACATTTTGACACTTAATTAGACAGTGTTTATTTTGGTCAAAATGATTTAAGGCACAGCTGCATAGATTAAACACAGTGACATTTATTATCTATAAAAACAGCGAGTAGATCCAGTCTAAAGAAAAACAACAACCCAAGGTAATGGACATATCAACACGCACCTTTCCACTTCATCCCGTGCTACGATATCTCCCTTCTTCAGGGCTTTGATGGCGTACATTGTGCCTGTCTTCTTGTATTCTGACAACAACACCTGAAGACAAACACATGCAGAAAACAGCTTCGATTTACTCCTTGTTTTTACTAACAATTCACAAACCCTGTCAAGTGTGAACTGAGGGCTGTTTTCATTCTTTTATGAGGAAGACCAAATAGAAACAGTTTATTGTGATATTTAATTAATATCTGAATTGCTGTGCTTTTATTCACATTACTGCTATTTCAAACTTTCAGCTTATTTTGAATGAAAATGATTAATATGTATGAAACGAGGGTTTCATTTAACTTTCTTAAACTTACTGCAGCCATGCCACTTTCCATGTGACATAACATTGTTGACAAAGTAAAGTTCTATTGAATGCAAATAAGAACATATTCTCAAAACATACAAAGAAGAAAGGCCTTTCACATATTCTCTTAAATGTATGGATTCTTGGAAATATTTAAGCGTAAACCTCTTGATACTGCCTGACGAACACACTGCAATCCATATGAGACGCAATACAAACCCTTTTTAAGTTTTGTAGCCATAATGTGTCTACATTTGTACACATATTGAGCTCATAAAATCAAGAACTGCCTTCTATTGTTCTTTGTGTTATAATGGAGACCTTTTCCGCTGGTACTTTTGTGTATTCCAAGTTAAAAGTAACCAACAAAAGTGTACCTTTCCAAAGTGTCCCCTTCCCAACACAGCAATCAGCCTGAAGTCCTGCAGAGACAGAGGGCCCTTCCTCTGCTTACTGAGGAGACAGCAGGAGACAGTCAGCAGAAACATTTAAAGGGTAAAACCAAATACAGTAAATATCAGATTGGCGTTCATATACACTGCCTAGAATACAGACAGCGATGGAGAGACTTACTTACATACAAATAATTAAAGAGAAACATGTTGCTTGTTTATGAAGCCTCTATATGGGGTTTTAGGAAACCAAAAACGATGTTGTTTATACAAGAATATAAACTCATACAAATATGAGAGTAAAAGTACAGTTTCACAGAAAATATCGAAAACAAATCCAACGTGGATGGGGCACAAGGATGGAGTGTTTATGCGTGTGTACCTGCCAACAGATGGGGTTCGGACAGGGCACTCGGGGGTGAGGTCTGGGGGAGAGAAGGGCTCGATGACGGGCAGTTGGTCCTGATGGGGGACATGCGAGGAAAGAGGCACAGAGGAGAAGACACAGAGAGAGGGACATGCAGAGACAGAGACATAATGGAAGTCAAGAGACGCATGATTACATGATGGACGTGACGTACAAACAGCAGGATTCACTTTTTGTCCCTGCTCTGTTGCTTTAGTTGGAGACACTGTAATCAAGCGCCCCCCTGCAAGATAATCCATATGGCTATTTTTTGTATCATTTAGTTGAAATCGGCATTTCAAAGAACAAAAAGTTGCCATTCATGGGATTATTTTAACCTACAATGGCCCTAAAACGTCATTGTCTGCACTAAGTTAGGTACCTGATGCTATTTTGCATTTGATATCTATATTTTGTGATCATATTAGTGTTATGTATAATGATTAGGGGCCTATTTTCAGTAAGAGCTTTCTGGATTCACTAGTGATTTCCCAATTACATTTTAACCTCAAAATTAAACACTGTCTTCTGTGGTTTGTTTAACTTCAAATAAAGTCAGCATTTGAACCAAATTGTATCTTTTATGGCCTTAATTTTGTGCAATTAAATTCTGATCAATTGTATATGCCAGTGGCGAGCCGTCAGGGCCCTCTAGGCCCTCTGTGAGGGCCTAAGATATTCTAAAAAATAATATTTGATAACTTTAAAAAAACAACATTTTTTTTTAAATATTATTTTTTATTGTTACATTTTTCATTAGTTTCACCAAAATAACTTGATTTAATTAATTTAAAAATAATATTTCCAAAGAAATAAATCCTTAGAATCTGCCTGTTCAGTTTCTGTTGGAATGTGAAGGGTTAAATGCCGTCTCTGCGAGTTACTGTGAAGACGGGAGAGCTTGTTGGTCCCTCTCTACATTCACAGAGGGCCAGCTATAGTAACTCAACGAGAGAGTAATGTCAAATGACAGTACAATTGACCAATCATATCTTCCCTCTAAATGGGCGGGCTTTATTTTCGCGGACTTTATGACTAGTTCCGCCCGCTGCGAGGTCTATGCAAGGGGTGCAGTGCATGGATGTATAATAAGAACACGGTGCAGTGACGCATCCTAAAACCCGGAAGTAAGCTTCGCTCGGATTCCCTCGACAGAAAGAAATGGGATTTCTCCATAGGGTTTTGCAAAATAGCTCGAAATAAGGTCTGTGGAAAACGAACCTGTTAGATAAATGCACGTTGTGTTCAGCCGGATAATATCCACATGTCTACCCTACTTTTATTATTTTTGATCTAATCGATAGATTTATGATTAGCATAAGTTCGTTCATGATGGCTCACTTCAGGGATAGTGATGACATCGTTGCGAAATTATTAACCGAGTCATTTTCAAGATTGAGTTACAATGATAAACTGGAGTGGCAAAGGATCAGCTGCATGACCCCGCCATCAAGTGCTTCATCCAAAAGGACAGGAGGATGGACTTTGTATTTAAGTGATTTGATCATCAAAGGTAGGCCTAAGTCATTTTCAATGTGGGCCGCCGTGCCGACTTAATTCATTTGTAATTGTTACTTGGCTGTAGTAGGTAGCCCTGTCATGATAGGTGTTTATATAAATGGTGTTGTTTTGTGTGGTAGAGGGTCGCTGTCATTGATGCGTTTTGCACCCCGGACCACTGTTTTGATATTCCGCTGAAGTCTACGTTGAGACGTAATATCTCTTCTTTTTTTTTTCGAAGGAAGAGGAGTCAGAGGGCCTAGGTATAAAAGTCACGGCTCGCCACTGGTATATGCGATTATTTATCCCATCTTATTCTATACTTGTGGATCAGAGCTTTGGGCTTTATTTCTAGGAAATAGTGAAACTTCCCTCACCCAACAGTAACTACAAAGACCTTACTACAGTAGGCCTAACCACACACACACACACACACACACACACACACACACACACACACACACACACACACACACACACACACACACACACACACACACACACACACACACACACACACACACACACACACACACACACACACACACACACACACACACACACACACACACACACACACACACACACACACACACACACACACACACACACACACACACACACACACACACACACACACACCCCCCTCCCCCATCTCCAGGGCTTCATCTCTCTCTGTCTCCCTCACCGGGGTTTGTCCGTCCGCGTCTCTCTTGTAATCCATTCTTATCGGAGAGTCGCTGTCCAGACTCAACTTCTCCACTGAGACCTCCCTGAAATTCACGCAGACACAAACAAACAAACCAACACGGCGATGCAGACAGACAAACACAAGAGGGTGGTTAGACGTGGGGCAGAGAAAGCATCCAGTGCTTTACACTTTGCCAGGAGACACAAGGAGAAAGGTTTGAGGTCTGATGGCTATGAAACATCACAGAACAATGAAGTGGAATGTGTGTATCTGTGTGGCTTCTGGGTTGTTTTGTGTGTGTGTGTGTGTGTGTGTGTGTGTGTCTTACCCAGAGTTGAGTGTGAGGCTGTGTGCATTGGGACTGTAGGTTCCTGAGTTGTTGACAGTGGGGATGGCGTTTCGAAGCAGCCTCACCCACGTACCGATATCAACGTTCATCTGACGGGCCCGAAGGAATGCTTTGCCTGAAAACAGAAACACAACCAGAGTCAGATATGTTTTGTCCTCAGAACCGCTCATCACACTGTCAAGGAAAAGGTCTTTTGTTATCAGCTCGGATTCTTAACGTAAATCCTCCACAACGTTTGGACTATTATTTCTGTATATTGCAGAATTTCTCTATACAAATATTTTCAGCTTTATTTTGGGCTTAATTTGAATATCCCCAGTTTACATCCTGTTTAAGTGTAGTACTTCCTATCTTTGTTCCGGCAAGTGCTGCGTAAATAAAGTTGTCATCATGATGAGGAAACGAGATGATTTATTCACCACTAGATGGTGCTGTGGTCTGAATGAATTGAGTGTTTTGTGTAACCATCACTGTTCCTGCCTTCTGGTTATGTTTATTTTCTCATAAAGCAAAAAAAAAACTGCTGTTTGTTAATTTCAAAAGGTAATCTTAGCAAACTGCATTACATTTGCAGAGAAGAAACACTATACTTATTTCCAAGATCAGCATATTTTCCTGTGTTTCCACTCTGCTCACCTTGCTGCTTAGAAAAGACCTTCTTCTGCCTCTGAAGGCGAGGAGCTCTCTCAATGACCGGGTTGAAGAAGGTCACCTGCCAAACACACACACACGAAACATAGAAACTACAGATCAACATTTTAGTTTCCCGACATAAAACAGACGATTCCAGTATGATATATCAAAGCGTTTTTCAGCACAGGTGCATGTGACAGCTTGTGTGTGTGAGGGAAGGGTACATTTGAATATCTTTGTGTGTATTTATAGCACATGAATAGATAGGTGTCATGTATGCAAGGATATCTATGTTCACACTTATGTGTTGCTGTCCCTTTTCCAATGTTTTGTTGCCGTGTGTGCGTTTGTGTGTGTGTGTGTGTGTGTGTGTGTGTGTGTGTGTGTGTGTGTGTGTGTGTGTGTGTGTGTGTGTGTGTGTGTGTGTGTGTGTGTACCTCTGCCAGCAGCAGGCCCTGAGGCTCCAGCTCCAGCTGAACTCTGTGTTTCTGGTTGTCCAGGAACTCCTCCAGCTTCAGGTACTTCAGGGCGGCCAGCGAGCGGTAGTCCTTCCAGTAGACTGCAATCTCCATCTCCCTCGACTAAAACACACACAGATACCAGCTCTCAATAGTGGTAGCTGCAGATTTACTAATAGGATAATTAACGAGGCAATAGACACAACGTTTGCTTTAACTTATCATGAAGTATATAAGGCTACACAATGTGATGGCTGTACACAACATCTGCGTAAAAAATGCAATTCTCTCTGCCTCTGGGTCACAACTCCCTTAAGCAATAAAACATATACAGTACATAGGCATCAGTGCAAACAACCGGAGTCATGTCTCTGTTAAAAGAGGAGGCAAAGAGACATTTATAGATATCTTTCTTTCGTTTCAGTTTTATTTTTCAGGTGTTCTTTGCTTTTGACAGTAATTTAAACCAAGATGTTAGCGCTAGCTATAATGTCAACAATATTTGAACATGTAGATCCATCTCATTATATTTACACTTTGAAATCCACTTGATGCGTTCATGTGTGTGTGTGTGTGTACTGACCCTTTCCAGCTCCACAGTGAAGGTCTGGTCCCAGGCCTGTTCTCCCACAGTCTTCCAGGGTGTCTGGCCCACCACGTTGTTCTCCAGCTTCAGCACAGCACTCACCTCGGCTGACAACACACACACACACACACACACACACACACACACACACACACACACACACACACACACACACACACACACACACACACACACACACACACACACACACACACACACACACACACACACACACACACACACACACACACACACACACACACACACACACACACACACACACACACACACACACACACACACACACACACACACACACACACACGATCAGCACATTTGATTCCCTCTATAAGTTACATTACTCTACAGAACCTGCCACCCTAGTGCTGAACACTCTAACAAAGAAAGCTAGTGTAATACTGTATGGGTATTGATTAATGATCGTAATTAATTTACTTGAAGACATAAAGTGCAAGACCTTAAGAAAAGCTGGCTGTGAATTGTCTGCTCAGGGTGTTGCAGCAATCTCACTAAATGTGCTGATGTTGCTGTGCAATTATGTGTGAGCACTCACAATCCCTGACCGTACCAACATACAGTGACAGTAATTGAATTTACTCAATATGGATCTGCTATAGCTTCATTTCCATTTTGTGCTGAGTGTGACAGTATGTGTTGCACTGTTAGTGATGAAAAATGTCCAAGGGCAAAAAAAGGACGTTCTTTTTTAAACCTTTGGAACTACATTTACTATTTAAGAACTGAATGATAGTAAAAACGAAATGTTTATTCTTATTTTTCTCTTTTTCTTATATACATTATAGGGAAAAATAATAATATAAAAGTAGAGAAAAATAAGATTTTTTTTTTTTTTAAGTGAACAAAATGAATAAAATGGGGACCACACTTACAGGAGAGCTCGTCTGTCTTGCTGGGTGTTTTCCCACTCACTGAGCCGCTGCGTCCGTAGAGGCCTTTGCTTCCTCTCATGAAGGAGCGGTTGTCTCCGGGGCTGTAGCAGGGCAGCATGACGGCTGTCCCTTTGTTGCGACCTGGGACCACCTCCAGCAGCCCAACACAGCCCAGCAGCTGCACCTGTAGGGTACCTGAAGACAGAGGGGAAGAATTCAGGTACAAACCAACACCTGAAGGCCAAAAACAGCAAAGGCCACGACAGAAATAAATAAATTGTGGAATTGTTCTGTCATCCCTGACGGTCATCCTTGCTATTTCTATTGTACTGTATTTAAAACTATACCAGAGGCTACATAAGTCAATCTGCTTTTATTTAAGACAAATAATCTCTGAGAACACAGAAAAAAGATATTGCATTTTTTTTTTATTTACAAAGATTATTTCTTCATAAATAGCCATAATTATCTGTAATCACATTTGCATCATCGGCCTGAAGATCAATAAAAAGCCATTACCCACCCACAATGTCCTTATTGTGTGAAACGTTTTTATTTTTTTGTCTTGATGTGTGCCCATTTTGTAAAGCAGAAAATGCCACTGAGCACAAGCATTACAATGTAGTTTTATACATATTATAATAAGGTTGAACCTGAAACCTCATCATCCGAACCTGAATGAATAAGATGGCTAGGGGCTTCGAAATGACTTTGATTTGAATAGCCTCTGTTCTATACAGTTAGTATACAGTTGTGCATGTTGTCATGCACATGCTTTTGTCATTGTGTATCTATGATTCTTGTTGTGTGAACATGCTTGACTGCGTCCCCTGTAGTTTTTGTATTTGTCGTACCAGTGAGAGGTGAGGGCTTGTTGAGGGTGCTGTACTGGTTGTGGAGGTAGGGGGCGCTGTGGCGGGAGCTGAAGACCGGGGAGGAGGCCAGGACCAGCTCCTCTTTGATGACGCTGGCCTTGGGATGGTCCTTCGGCAGCTCTGACAGGCGACGGTCCAGAGACTGCCTCAGCAGGTCTAAGCGCAGAGACGCCTCGCTCAGACGAGACTGTGCCTAAAGATCGTCAAGCAGAACAGCTTTAAAACACAGTTACATTCACTGGGCGACATTTACTTCACTTTTACGTCTCACAAACCACATAAATCCATCCCTCCTGTCATACTTAGGTCAAATATCAACAATAATCACAGGAGTATTGGTGTGAGAATACATTAGAAATGTTCAATAAAGAGGTTCTATACTAATATACCTTGCAGAAGAATACAGCATTGATATTTTTTTTTATACCATTTGTAATTGAAATATGATTTGCTTTTAACACCATTTTGAATGACATAAACGATTATGTGTGTGTTTTTTGTGTGTAAGTGAGTAAGGGGTTTTAAAAACCCTTCCAACGCCACATGGTTAATGATGTAAGGTTATTCTGAGTTTTAAGGTCATATACGATGTTGTGGCTGCTCTGTGATAAAGAACATCAGACTGGAGAGGAAAGTGCTTTATGGTGCTACATTACTTCATATTGTCTGTTTATGTTGAGCCAATCAAGAGAAAGCTTACCACATTAGGATAGCTTACAATGAAGTGGTGCTGTAACAATGGTTAAACATAAAGGCACTGAAGTACAGGCTGGAGAAGGGAAGATTAGAGTTTCAATGTGTTTATCTATAAGTAGAGATGAAACATATGACTTACATGACTTATATGTCTTACAGCTTTTCACTAAGTACATTTGAGATGGAGGAAGGGTTTGCAGTTGCAGGATATGTGTGTGTGTGTGTTTCCAGTCCTACCTCAGACAGGGCTTTCTTGTCCTGGACCTTGCTGGCCCCCAGGAGCCTGAGGACATTTTTGGCCCCCTCAGCGACGGCATGCTCCACCCTGTAGTGATGCCTCAGCTCTTCCAGACGCAGCTCCATCCCACAGAGGTCCTGGTTACCTGCACGGTGAGACAGAAACATTACATTACTGTGCATCTGACCAGAGGAATTTTACACTTTGCAACTGAGATAGGATGCTATAAATATGAAACGTCTTTAATCCACCTGCAAACTTTATTCAGTTATATTCTGTTTAATCTTGGCAGGTGCACTTGAGGACTTGAGTCTTGTTTGGGCAGCAGTGTGTTAGAGGGAACTCCTCTGGGCATACTGAGTAAGGTTAATACCTTAATGCATGTCATGCATTACACAAGAGCCTGACAAAGAAAACATTAGCAGCGCCCGGAGGGAAGTGAGCAATCCGAGTTCACTCAGTAAACAACAATAAATTCAGTTCCAACCTCTGCTTCCAAATGGCTTACTCACTCCCATCTTCAAAAGCAAACTCATATCTGTCTTTCAAATGTCCTTTTCGTTAGATTTTTGATGTTAGGTTCAAATAAATCATCAGTTTGTCCAGACTAAAACAATTGATGATTTCCAATAATTACTTAAATGAGATTTAATTCCAGGGTTGTTATGGTAATACCAGCTTGTTGTCCAGTATAAAATACTTTGAGTATTTCCTGTTGTAACCACATACTACAGCTACCCCTGATTAGATAGATGGTATTTAGCAATTTGCCATGCAAGAAAAAGCCCTTGATCTAATCATGATGTGACATTCATCTAATCATGATGTGATACAGTTAAATGGAAAGACATGTTTTCGATACTCTGACAAATGGTTTAATAAATCGAGACCTGCCTACATACGCAATGAAGAGAGATTCATTATGGAAAGTTGGAGCAGAAATGATATGAATAACATTTTTTTTAGATCACTCTCCAACGTGACAGCCACTGGAAAACGAAACCAATGACACTGATAAAACAACAATAACAATTGTTTATTTCACCCCTTAAATACAAAGGCCTGGTGACAGTAGCTTGATCCAAAACAGTGAATTGAGTGCAATGCCATCAGTCAAATGGGAAAAACATAATCGAGCTCCTTCACTCAGAAAAACACACATGGGGTCAAACTCGGAGCAACACCCGTGAAGCACAATTACAGCTAATTGGCTAGCTTAATGACACACAGTAGCAATCTCTAACAAAAACCTTGAAGCACACAGATAAGGGAGGAGAAGAGGAGGCATGAGATAAGGAAAAGGATGATAGGATAAATATAATTGATACAAAGTGCATTTGTCTTTCAAATGTCAGGCTAGTAAAGAAGATGGACAAAGGACACAGAAGAGTACTGAAAAATGATTTTTTTTTTTATGGCTTTTGAGTTTTCAAAGTGAAAAAAAGTGAGAAAGAAAGGGAAGGGGGGAGGTAGGGGATCGGGTGGATGTGGATGCTTTTATCTCCTAATAAGGTGTTCTGCCTGGAGCCCAGACCCTGTGAGATGACCCCTCCACCGGGTGTGGTGCCTGGAGACTGTCTGTCTGTCTGTGTACACTATACACACAACCCCTGTGAGTGTGTGTGTGCGGTTCAAGGAGAGACTATGTTGGACAGCAGCACAAAAGAAAATTCAAGAGTTGAATATAATGAGAGGAATATCGAGGTAACAACTAGGGTAAAATACAGAGAAAGTGTATTCAGGAAATTATATGGATATGAAGAAATGCATTGTTGAATATCACAAAAACGGTTATAAAAGGTGTTCGTTGTTCTGCTTAAACACACCAAATCACTATTTAACAAAAAAAAAGAACAATGAACAAAATACTTAAAAGGCGCCATTAAAGATGATAAAGGACCGATAGAGTTATGAGTACAAACTTAATTAAACCAGCATTCAGATTTAGCATTGCACTCAGTTTTAAACAATTGATTCAGCAGATGACCCACAATGCAACTCGGCCACACACAATCCAGTAAAGGATGCAGGTGTGTTATGGTTGAGGCAGCGAATGTAGCCAGTTGATAGCCGCAAGCAAAGATGGGGAGCTGGCTACAAAGATATTTTTTCACATATGCATTAGTACTCTGCACAACCTCTAAACAGGTACACTTTAAAGTGTAGAATCAATGGCCATTAATATCGATAATTCTATCTTTATCCCGCAACAGCAGAGCATTGAACTTCAGAACATTAAACCCAGTACGTTTACCACACAGAGGACACAGAGGAGGGAAGTACGGTCATTCAAAGTCTGTCCACTTTGCCTTAAAAGCCCATTCTCTCTGGCTGCCTCTGTCTGACATGAGTAAAAACAAGTATAGCCCCAAAGGAATACACCATCCTTCAAATCTTTATTTTACTTCTACTCCCTCACATTGCTCTCTCCCTGCTCCCCTGCAGCATTTTACCAAACCGCCCAGCTCTCGTGACCGCAATCAATCGGCCCGTTTTCCCAGCCAGGAGGCCATAATGGTCCACAGCACTCCCTGCCTGACAGACACTCATTCACCGGCCTCAGCCCCTTTAAATGGCAAATACGCTCAGCCACAACATTTAATGTGTGTGTGTGTGTGTGTCAGAAGGCAGAGAAAGGAACCAGGACATCATATTCATGGTTTAATTGTAACTTGAGGTGCATGACCACGCTTCAGAACGTTTCATATGCAATCATCAGCCCAGAGTGTTTTTGCTGTGCCTCGGCACACAGTACAATACCTGTGTGAGTGTGTGTGAGTGTGTGAGCGAGCGTTTGTGTGTGAAAGGGACTTTTCATCTGCCGATCCTTTTGTAGAAGGGCAGGATTTCTTTTTTGATTGCATCTGTGAGTGAATGTGATTGATTGTGATAATGCGCCAGGTGGGTTATTTCACAGGATTTGTATTACTCACTGCATGTGTTTGTCCACCACACACACACACACACACACACACACACACACACACACACACACACACACACACACACACACACACACACACACACACACACACACACACACACACACACACACACACACACACACACACACACACACACACACACACACACACACACACACACACACACACACACACACACACACACACACACACACACCACACACACACACACACACACACACACACACACACACACACACACACACACACACACACACACACACACACACACACACACACACACACACACACACACACACACACACACAAAAAATTCTAACCGGCCTATTCATCTTCTTCCCCGCAAAACCAAAGTGGGGGATAAACAAAGGGCCGGCTCTTTATTGATCTGTTTTGCTGCTGTCGGGAGCTGCTGCTCAGAACAACACGCTCAACATGCAGAGAGAAAGAGCATTAAGATAGACACATGACAAGCATCCTGTCAGTGCCAGCTGATCGTTGTCATAAACCAGAGTTATATTTTGAGAGCTCACAGTGACATGAGTTCCTTTTCCTCTGATAGGTGAACTAAAATGAACAGGCTTAGAATAATTGCTACATGTTGCTCAAAACGATTTTAATTAGTATTTTCTGTATCACTTTAAGTCAGCTCCATGGTTATATGTACAGTACACCGTTTATAAAGGATTTGAAATGGACCTGTTTACCTTGGCTATACATATGATACTACTTTTTTTACAGACCTACATCTAAGAGTGCTAACCTTTTACGGTGCAGAAAAATAGACCAAATATTCTAACATTTAAAATGTGATCTTACACATTTACCAGCTAACCAAGACAGGTCACCCTTAATCATTTATAAATCTAAAACCTATTTTATTAGGCAATTAGCCAGCCAATCAAACGTACCCTGTGTGTCGTCATTGTGCTCGGTGGCCTGCTCAGCCTTGCGGATCTGCATGCGGATGATGTCAATTTTGGTCTTACTGTCCTGTAGCATCTGCTGGGCCGTCTGCAGCATCTTCTTATCCTGACAGGAGCAGATGCAAGACAAAGGGTAGATCACATGACCGAAGCGGGAAGCTAAGTATTTAAATACAAGCTGTTTTTGTCTGTTGGTTGTTATTGGCGATATATCTGTGTGTTTTAAAGCAGTACAGGAAAAGTATGTGGAGGTATGAAGGCAAGGTCATACAGCAAGGGCGAAAGAGATGCTGAATAAAAGAGGGGGAGGGGATTTTTAAAGTAATCAAGAGATGAGGTATGTGCATGAGGGAAAGGGTTTTGTGTGTCACAGGTTTAACAGATTTAGGAAATCATCATCTGAGTCAGCAGTTTGCAAGGTCACATACGCTATCAGCCAGCTGGGGGAGGGTCTAATACCCTACAAATTGTTCTCTACATTGACATCCGGCTGTATAAATACAATTCTGTATCATTGTATGAAGCCAAAAGCATCTATTCTATACACTCTTATGTTCAGGTGTTTGTTTGTGTATGGATCAAGCCATCGTCCTGTACCTTGGTGGATCCATTGGCGTATATGGGGATCATGTTTTCCACTCCCTGTTTGACTTTGAGCTCGATGTTGAGCTGTCTCTTCAGAGCGGCGATGCGTTCCTTGGTGGCTGACGTACGAGACTCCGCCCCAGGAGACTGAGGACACTCATCTGTGGAGGGAAGGGAAAGGTTGCAGATGGTGTAAAAAGAAACAAGATGAGGGTTCACACAGAGCACTCAAAAGTGAAATACGCTCAGAGGAATTTCATGTAATGTCGTGACTTTTGGAGGATTCTTGATGCCATGGACACACATGAATCTGATCTGGACGTTTTCTGGAAAATATTCATTATCAACTGGTTTTTTGTACATAAGTGCTCCCACAAAGCAGTCCTGCTCACTCATTGAAAACGTTCTTATTAATATTATAGACATTTAATATAGATTTGATATTTGACATAGATTTGACTTTTCGGATACACACCTTTGTTCTCCTCTCCTCCCTTCACCACAATGTAAGCATCCAGTTCTTGCAGCTGGTCATGCAGGTTGTCCAGCTTACGGTTAGAAGAACGAAGCTGGCTGTCCACCTGCAGGCAGGAGCAAATACAGAAGAACATGATTTCAACACCAGCAACAATGTATTGAGAAGCTAGAGAGCAGATTTATTTAGGCTTTAAACCAGTATAAGTTTTATCGGTTGTCTTAATTTTCTTTATACATAATACCATAAGCAGGGAGCCTCAGTATACCTGTCCAGTGAAATGTAACTAATTTAAGCCTTGTGAGTAGAGGTATAATATTTTACTACAAATGTTTACTCAATCTAATCAAATAAGTGTAATTACTGGTACTGCTTGAACTGTTCTGTGGCCTACATTTAAACACCTACATTGATGGGGGGAGTGTAGGAAGCAGAGTTAATGACTTCCATCTTCTTTCTTTGAACTAAATCAATTGTCATCAAACTCAAAATAGAAATAAATCTTTTGAAATTGTGTTGGGTTTAAACAATGGGTTTAAAAAAATGTACTTTTTGCTTTCGACTCATTCCTACACATTCTTGTGAGCAAAGCATTTAACTCTTCCACTGCTTGTGTATTATTTCTGATATCTATATCCACAAAGAGATGCTGGATCTGTACTTGGCAGCTCCAGGAAGTCAATATGTGAGCTAGTGCTGCATTCCTGCCTCTCAAAGTAGAAATATGAGCTCAGTGAACATACTACTGAATACACAAATATCTATCACATTAAGGCGAGACACCCCAGGTGAATAGGGTAATTTTTTTAACTTAAAGGTATCAGCTAGAAATTTCTCCAGTTAATTACTTACAATAAGGCAATTGTCTTTTGTATTACAAGTTTTCTGAAATAGCATGTTTAAATATGCAAATTATCCATTATCTCATTAAATATGCACATATTTTAACACATTTCAGGAATCGAAATCTGAACTTTGGATATAGCCAGATTCAAAATTCTTGTTTCATTTTGTAGTCATATTAGTATCGAAGGCTTTTACAGAAGGGATATTGGATCTCTCTTTTTATCATTCCATAAATCAGAAAATACTGTCAACAGCCCTAAAATATCAATTTTCGCCATGTTTTTAGGTATACAATGTTGTATAATTCAGGCTATGAATTATATATGAACAAACCCTTCTGTAAAAGCCTTCATAATATTGATGGGAATATAACTGGAAGGTTTGGTGTATCTACGTGCTACTGAAGTTGAAATTTCGAACTCAGAGTAGGAGAAAAAACTCATTTTGAGAAAACGACCTTTAAAGATTGCAGTGAGGCGCTAGCTAAACCCTCTGTTCTTTGGATGACAGCTTGCGCATCGACGCACTCCGTGAAGGTATTTCATGTTCAGGGTCATTTTTTTTTTTTATAACCTTGCTTCGTGCAAGTGACAATTGTTGTCGTCTTCTCTGTGAACGTTTTTTTCGCGGTTCTTTTGGCATTTTCAGATTTCAATTTCTAGCTGAAAGCTAACCAGGAAGTGTTTTAGCACACCACGTGACGCATCTGAACGAATCACGTTGTCAGAAATTGACACCAGCCAATGAGATTTCGTTTCTTGGTTTAAGACCCCTTTGTACTTTCACGATTGGTTGCTGATACAAAGGAAATGACCATATTTGGATCCGATGAGATTGTGCAGGAGAGACGGAGCTTTCCAGCGATATCTCTGTTGACATGGTGCACACAGCGGTCGCGGTACTTTATGTTACGTTAGAATGCTAACTTTTGGTGAATTTAGGAGAAATCGACAGACGCAAATAGACAAACTATAGTAAAATAAACACTTAAATGTGTATTTTGTACGTTTTCCTTCCAAAAGCCTGAAAGAAAACATGTTATGGAATCAAAATAGCACAAAATCTCAAAATTGACCAGTACTTGAAAAACGATGTTTTTGCCTGCCGTGTCTCGCCTTAAGCGTTAGAAAAAGTGCCAGTTCTTTCAGACAGGTCTTAACCGTCTCAAGGATAACATAAACATAAACATACCAGCAAAACTACCCAGTTCCTGTGTGACTGACTCACCAGACACTGCTCCAGTCATTAAACCGGTTTCCTGCAGTCCTACTGATGTCAAATTACAACTTAACAAAGATCATCCATGATCAGATTACTCATTTCTTTGTTGTTACTGACGTTGTGTCAATTATGCGTTGTCATATTAACTGTTCCTTTTGACAAATCTTTCTATTTGCTTTCCAATCATTCATTACCAGTCAGAAACCAGTTTTCTGAAGACATTTGAATGGTATGACAAGCAGAAAAAGCCAGAGACGTGTGCACTCTAACATGTCCCTGGCTTCGAGAGGGTCCGACAGTAGCTGTGTCTAACCTGCTGTGCGTTCCTCTTGTCAGTCGTCGCCCTCCGTAGGTTCTCTGCTCCTTCCTTGATTTTCAGCTCTTTACGGATCTCTCTGCGGATCCTTTCGCGCTGCTCGTCCAGGAGCTGCTGCACACTGGAATCAGAGAAGTCCGAGTTCTGGTCCAGACCGAGCTGCTCCAGAACAGACAGGCCATCTGGGTCACTCTGGACAGAGAGGGGAGGAAAATGATAAAGAAGTTAGACTATGTGGTTATATGAATAAAACAATTGATTGTGGTAGCATAGTCAGCCTGGTAAGAGGAGGTGTTGAGAGAGTCGTAGACAGAGATGGCGAGCAGGATAAGGAGTAATGGGAGGAAAGAGATAGAGAAGGCGAGATGATAGTGGTGGGGGTTGGGGGAAAAGGGCAAAGTTGCAGAAAATGAAAATGCTAGTAAAAAGGAAGCAGGAGGGGCAGTGAAGGATTTACAAAAATCTTGTTCAACCAGTGTTATAACAATAGAAACACAAATGTCTAATGGCACACCTACTTACAAGAAGAGCTTAAGGGTAAACAACCCCATTAGAAATCCCATTTTCAAGATACTCTGCCTGAAAAAATGGGCTAAAACTCAATCAAATTACAAATCTGTACCATGACCTGTGGCGTCGGTTGTCCTTTTTATCCTGAACCGGTTCTACTCTAATGCGAGATAAATAACAAGAACATCTTAACCTGGAACATACTAACCTACATGAAAAACACACTCTACCAAATATAATTGGGCTCCACTCCTACTTAAGTTTCTACTCACTTCCTGTGTCTTTTCAAAAATGACTCCTAGCAGAGTTCTGGAGACTCAAGTAGCCCGACACACAATCAGGAACTCAGCAGGAGCGACAGCGTTAATCACTAGAAATCACAGCCACTCGGCCCAATATTACAGGAACACACAAATCAAACAAACAAGCCAACAACACTTAACCTCCGAGCTGTCCTCATCCTCCTCGTCACCATGCCAACACATAGTCCACTCAGATGTTATGACCAGAAAACGTTGGTACGCTCCTGAGCTCGGACCAACAGCTAATGCCACACCGAGAGCGAATAGGATAATAAACGATAAAAAGAGATAAAGAGAGGAAGAGTTAAGTGAGGGAGGGGGAACGCCCCCGAAAGAGGATATCCGTCCCAACACCAAGCTGCTCAGGCCTTTCCTGTTTCCCCTGCAATTTTGCTGCTGTCAGAGAGTGAGAACCAGAGAAAAGGGGGACAGAAACTCTATACATCAAGGACACATCCTCCACTCCCAGAGTTTTTGGAAAGCATTCCTGGATCTGTAGCAGTAAGCTTGTACAATGTTTCTCAAATGCTTATATGTATCAATTACTCAAATCGGGCTCCAAGTGAATTTGTGACAGCTTTTTATTAATGTTGTGCTCTCATTGGGTCGTGATGTGATACGATCTTGAGGGTGGAAACATGGGAAGTATGCGTTTTCTAAGTTTTGGATCACAGCCAGAGAGTAAAGATTAGGAGGCTTTTCTTGACCTCTTGTTCCCTTAGGGCTCCACATCTACAAACCAAGAAATCCCCCTAAAGGCAGCCTACAACAACATTATCCAAATCAGAAAATTAGCACACAGTTTAAGACCCCTCAACACTGCACAATACGAGTGATCTCACAGGTTGACTGCATGTAACACAGGGCCAGATGGGTGTGATCAAATATTGGTTGCAATCTGTGTTCATGTCAATAGAATGAAAGCCTGATGGTTTGTCGAGATATGGAGTATTCGGATAAAGATGGAACATACTGTACAATTTAATCATAAACTTCTGCCAGTCTTATGTTTTGAAAATTAGCTACAGGGATGGGACTGCGGAGTTCTTTTTTACGTTTATCCCAACAATGATACTGAGAATCCAGCATTTGTATCCAGATGTATTTAATGTTGTATTACATGAATTGACCCATCTACAAACAAACCTGCAAATTGTGAGAATTTGTTCCAAATTCATTTCCATCTTTAACAATACTGGAAATGTTCTCCACCCTGTATATTTGAGTGCCACAAAATCTGGTTGGAGAGATGAAGAAATTGTAAGCAGGAAGAGGTTGAGAGCTAACAGCTAGCACTGAGCTACTGCTACATATGAACACAGCCATGATATGGCATCATAGCCATAGGGCAGCAACATTAGCAGTGAGCTGGCAGCTTGCCTGATGGCTGCCCAAACATGGATGTGTTGTAAGAACTACATACCGCAGTCCTTTAATGAAAACCCCTCGCCCAGCTCATAAGCCACAACAGATGTTCCCACTTCCTGGTTTGCTTCCACATGGTACAGTACATGACATCATGCACGCACATATAGCTCTCTAATGCTTTGGGAAAGGTTTGCAGATATTTAACCTCCATGGATTGGAAATGTATAAAAAAAGGATTATCTGCAGTTCTGAGTGTCCTGTCAACATTTCTACAGATGCCTTTTTTACAATGACTGTCAACTGTATGGATAAATGCTTGTTGGGCAGCAGTACTGCAAGTGGCCAATGGGGCTGCTTTGAGGTATGTTAATAATCTAACAGGGAGAGAAGATTAAGGAGTTCCCCACTGGTTAAACACAGGCACAACAATAGGTTACAGAATACCAGGGTTCATACACTTTTTCACAAATGATTTTCAATGACTTCTCCATGACTTCTTCTCCATGACCTTTACCTAATTTTCCATGACCAAAACAATTAGTCTCAGCAGAACCACTGAAAATGGTTTCTTTTAACATGGAACAGAAAAATAAGGTCTGCATCTGAAACATGTTGTGCCTATCTAAAACAAATCAAATAGTAGGCTTACTAGCTTCTACAGGCTAAAGCAACTAAAATCTCTCACCAGCAAAATACCTCGACCGTTAAATGCCATTTTACGTTTCATTACTTTACGATACAGTCTTTATTATCATTATAGTATTACTATTTCGGCGATTAGATAAAATATAAATTATATTTGATGCAACTTTAGTTACATTTCCATGACTTTTCCAAAACTTTGGGAAAAATATTGTTTTCCAGGGCCTGGAATTAGCATTTTGAATTTCCATGACTTTTCCATGTTTTTAATGAACGTAAGAACCCTGGAATACTTACACAAATACAACACAGCAAATCAAACCTTTACAGTAAGAATAATGAAAGCTTTTGAGCTTTAAAACATAGTCTGGTTTAATTGAAACATTTTCTGTGTTTCCTTGACATAGAGACCTTTGAGATCACAAGAGTGGACTAATTAGGTCTGCAATTTTGAGCTAATTCTGACGTGACTTTGACAAGACACACTTCATCCTCTCTTTCTCCACCCATCCCCTCTACCTCCCTATGTAAAGCGTGTGTACATGTGATCCACAGCTGATGAAATGTTTGCTTACATTTACAGCATCGGTCACTATGCCTAAAGAGGCAAAGGAACCGAAAAAAACGGTGCTGCTATGTTTTAGTGTAATTCATAGTTATTGACATTTTAGAGCGGGGCTCAGCTCATCCTCCACCCACTCATCCACCTGTGTGTGTTTTAAGTCCTTAACTGCAGTCTAGGTTCAAATCTGACCCTGTGCCCTTTTGTTGCATGTGGCCCCCCTTTCATCAACCTTATCTTTCTAATAAAAAGGCACAATTGCCAACAAAAACATTCAAATAATACACCTTTTATAAAGATTAGACTGGCTTAAGGCCCTATTTTGGCTACTAAGCTGCAATGCTAGTGTTCTTTCTTGAAAGGGGGTAATTGATTGCACTCTTATTACATCAATATATTAAAAGCCCTTAACCTTTCTAGATATAAATGAAAGATAAATTCTACTTGTTCAGTTATTATCAGTAGCTATGATCAACCCCGTCTCTCTTTAAGGCTTTGGCTTCAACATTGATCTAGTCCGTCTGTGTTTTTATGTCTCAAGCGATTTAATAAATATGTTTAATAATATTACTATTAGTATCTTCACATGTTGTATAACAATTAAACTAGAAAAGAATAGCATGCCTGGTCCAATTGTCCAGTCACACTCTCCCTTTAAGATGTCATTTGTAACATGACTCCTGTCACCTCCATCACAACATGTGAGGAAGACGTGTAACAGCGGCAGATGTTGACAGGATGTGTTTTGACACACATATGTACGTAGCATACAACAGCAACACCAGATGAGGCGTCACAAACCAGTCATAAAGAGACACCTCACTTAGACTGACACCTATGCAATGAAGTGAGCTCAGCACTTACACAGAGAAAAGCTGACACGATAAAAACACTCCACTCCATCTTTCAGTTGATGACCCGGTGTAACACTACAAAAATGGCAACAGCTATCGGGCATGACTGACTCATCCCATTCAGCTAGTTAGCGAAGTAGCCCAGGGAGAAACATTCATCAGCAGCAGCGTCAAGGCAAGTAATGACGAGGCTAATTTAGTAGATAAGTCACTGCACCAAGTGAGGATAATTCAATCAGACTGTGTGAGCAGCGTAGATGAGCCTAGGGCTGAATAGAGAGGGACAAGAAAGCACATAGGATACGTGCAATTTTCCGTGTTTGCGTGTATTAGCATGTCCTTCAGTGTGAAGACAAAGCCTGGAGTTCTCCCACTGAGTGCTAATGACCACTCGGTACAGATCGTGTCCACACACAGGTCATGGAAGGTCATTGTCGTGCAAGCATACATGACATGGATACAATTAGGAGATGTATTCACTTTTAATTAATGCACACTATTTAAAAAACAACCAACCAAAAAACCTGGCCCAAAGTTGCCAACTCTTTTCCAATGAAGTGTGTAGCAGCACTAGCTCCAAAAGTATGGTAAGTAGTGAGAGTTTCCAACTTGGTAACACTGGTCTTTCAGGTCTATTTCTCCCCCTTAAATGATCATTATGAACGAAAACAATGAAGATATATGTGGAAGAGTGGTGAAAATACATTACCCCCACTAGCTTTCAACCTAATATCTTTGAGTTTTGGACTCTAATTTAAAGACATCATCTGACATCACACTTTGTGAGACAAGGATAGACGTTTTCCACACATTTCTGAAATCTTATAGACAAAACTATTAATCTAGAATTAATCAGCAGCATAAATGAACACACTCCCACTTTCCCATGAAACATGAGGACATGTCTCTTGGGGAATGAGGACACAGAGCTCAGCCCATTTCTGTGTTATTATA